TAGACGCGATTCTCAGGTCCTCGGATGCGGCTGATTTCTCCACTGAAGAACTGACTCGTCTCCAGGAGGGGATTTCTCAACAACTGACGGCCCGCGCACGTCTGACCTCCCATCCTCATCAACCAGTACGTGCATCGCGTGGCAACACACCATCGGAGACGATTGGGGTCTCCGACCCCTACAGGCCCGTGAATCCGTCCGACAGCGGCCAAGACAAGATGAGGCCCGTCTTCGAGCTGACTGAAGACTAGCCTTGCATGAGCAGCGCAGCGTACAAAATAAGGGTGGCCTCTACACTTGCATGATCTTGCTTTGCTGTTGTTTGAACATGGTTGTGCATGGTGCTTGTTCATCTACTAGCTGGATCGGAGCCCGCGACCATCCTTGCCTCTTGCCTCGACATGGACATCGATGATTCCAAGCAGCATCCATGGCTCGAATATTCGGTCTGGCATGATCAGGAGTGGGTGCGGATATACACTCCGGGACAACCTCAACGATGGCACCGTGGTGACGCCGTACCTGATCTACCTGAAAACTCTTTTCGTGAATGGCAGCGGGTGACGGATCCCGAAGCGCCAGTCCAGGCATGGGACATCCGTGACTGGCAACACCAAGGGTACCAGCGCATTCTGTCTCGGATTGAGTCCTTCGCAACTCAATATTCACATGATCAGACTCTTGGTCAAGGTCGGAACTCCGATGCCGTTCAAGTTGAGGAGACCTTCACCTATGCCACTCCGTTTTCTCATGGTGATCGCCCGGCTGCTTCGCAGATCGCTTCAGTCCTCTATGGCGACACTCGCAATGCTCAACGTTGTGATCTTTCGTTCCCGTCTTCTGAGCGGTTTAGGGCAGTGTCTCGCTCCCCTCGCCGTGGTGGATATTTTGGTCAACGATAGTGATTTGAGTTTGAGCATGTGATCTTCCTGCAGGAGAAAAGAGAAACCTCGCCCCTCGTAGAGGGGCGTGTGTGTGCGGAGTGACAGAATGCCCTGTCACCACCCTTTCAGATTCGCAGCAGGGGCGTGTGGCACTCTCATCCTACCACACGCAATGAAGCTGTGGGTGAGAGTGGGAAACAAGGCCTGATCAGCCTTGTGTACCTGCACCTTTTGAGTGATTCTGAAAGTCTTTTTGGCCCTCTTCTTTGCCGCTGTGTGTGCTTCATGTTGAACCTTGTAATGGTTTGTCGTGACCGCAAGCCGAACTTTCTTTTACTCGAGACTCATCGGTTGTACTCGAGACTCATCAGTTGTACTCGAAACTCATCAGTTGTACTCGAAAGATTAGCACTCTCCATCTGGAGTTCAAGTGTGTGTGCGCGTTTGTGCGTCTGTGCGTCTGTGCGTCGGTGCGTCGGTGTGTCTGTGTGTCTGTGTGTCTGCGTGTTTGCGTGTCTGCGTGTCTGCGTGTCTGTGTGTCTGTGTGTCCGTGTGTCCGTGTGTCCGTGTGTCTTTGTGTCTGTGTGTGTCTGTGTGTCTGTGTGTCTGTGTGTCTGTGTGTCTGTGTGTCTGTGTGTCTGTGTGTCTGTGTGTCTGTGTGTGTCTGTGTGTTTGGGTTGGTTTGTGTGTATGTCTGTGGGCGCGCGCGCGCATGTGCGTGCGTGGTTGCTGCATGCCTACGTGCGTGGGTGCATGCCTACGTGCGTGGGTGCGTGTGTGGTTGCGTGGTTGCGTGCCAAGCCCTGGCAAGCGGAAGTTTCAAGCCAGGGGTTTCTCGCGTTATTGCAAGGAGGCGAAGGTGGAGGCCAAGGATTCCAAGGAGTCCAAGGAGTCGAAGAGCGAGGGCAAGTAACGGTGCGCCGACCGGGGGGAGCGGAGGGGGGGAGCGGAGGGGGGGAGCGGAGGGGGGGAGCGGAGGGGGGGAGCGGAGATGCCCGAGTCGGAGGCTGCAGAAGTATTTCTGGGACTGGCATGACGTCACACACTGGCCTCAAAACCTCTCATGAACGGAACACCCTTGGCGCCAGGGGGGAGCCTTGCCGCTGTTGGCTGACACGTTGCCGCGTAGAGTCGAAGCCTGGCACGCCACAGCCTTCAGAGTCAGCTGAGCCTCCGAGTGACACTTCAATCGACGGGCGGCGTGCCCGGAGCAAAGATTCCTAGCGTTCTTCAAGAGAACGCTGGCAGGGTTTTCCTGCATGGCGCATAGCAGGCCTCTGAAATTGCGGCCCTCTCTTCTGACGTTCACTTACCTTGAAAGAACAAAGTCCATTTTGCGTTGGCATTGATGAAAGCCTATCAATCACAGGTCAGGGCAAATCAACAAATCACGTCACTATTTATTTGCGGACGATTTGCCGCTGAGAGGGCACCCAATTTGGAATCCAAGCCACTTCTGGCCACCTGTTGCCGGGAGCGGCCTGCCAATTTGATCTTTGCGCCGCTGCGCTTTTAGATTTTTCGCAACACTGGGTGAGTCGCTTTTTGAGGGTAATTAACCATGACCCAATTTTGTCTTCTTGTTAAAGGGCAAGATCCAAATGGACTTGTTTTTTCACGGGCCTGACCCATTTTCAGGGGTTTGCCCCCAGTCGAGGTGACAAACCCAAACCCGGCAGCACTGCAGAATGCAGCTCTTGCTGTCGCCATGTTTATGACGGCTCGAGCGTGGGCAGGCTCGGTCGCTGAAGTGATCCGACGGCTTTGAATCGCCCACGCTCGCTACCGAATTGGCCAGAGATTACAGAGAAATAAAGAAGCGATGCGTGAAGCTCGGCGTTTGCATGGGGAGGGCCGGTCAGCAACCCAATCGGATTTATGTCCAAACAATGGAGGATTTTGGGGCCCAATTCTACTTTAGTATTGCAGCCACTTCCTTTTTGGATTTCTACTTTAGTATTGCAACCACTTCTTCCTGAGCAGTTTTTTTGGAATACTACTTTAGTATTGCAACCACTTCTTCCTGAGCATACTTTTTGGAATACTAATTACGTTAGTAGCCATTCAAAGGGTGTGCCTTTCAGCCAAGGAGGGCTTGAGCTAGAAAGAAACCAATTGAAAGGGGAATGCTTTTAAGCAAGTGGGCCACCAAATGGAAGGGGAATGCTTTTAAGCAAGTGGGCGACCAATTGAAAGGGGAATGCTTTTAAGTAAGTGGGCCACCAACTAAAAGGGGAATGCTTTTGAGTAAAGCAACTGACAGTTTATTTTCTGGAGGGGGCTGGGGGCTTGCAACTAATGTGGTCCCCCTAAAGAATGTCATTGTTGTGGTTCAGTGGGGTCTGTGAGGGGTACCCTTCTCCTGATTGTTTTTTTTCAACACGGCTTAATAAAGAATTTGCAGTTTCAGGGCTGGGGATGGTTTTCACATTTCTTGGGTTTTGCGTTTGAGCAACCAATTAAAAGGGGAATGCTTTAAAGCAAGTGGTCCACCATCAACCATTTGAGATATTATTAATTGGATGATTGGCTATTTTTTGGATTTTTTCTTTCCGGGCAAAAAACAACTTTCAGTTATTCTGGTCCCCATCAATAATGGGGGTGAAGCACAATAAGGAAACACTCTTTGCATTATTGACTATCCCATGATTAATCGGGTGTCAACATTATGGCAAGCCATGACTCACAGGTGTGATCATGGCACGGGGAATGGTTGATGGGGGGTTGTATCAGGCACAATGAGTATGGACTGTGGCTCATATCCCAAAGACAATCTATGGGATTCCTGAGCCGCGGGATGTTTGATTTGGCTGAAACCTCGGACAGCTATTTCCCCAATTGTGGCCATATCTTTTTGGAGTTCCAAAAGTGTCCGACCCCAGACAAAATCAAATTCGCCCCGGAACGACCCACACGTGTTGGCCCTTTGGCCTCCTCAAAGCCTGTGTGATGACCTCTGCACAAACTGACAGCGACCCAAGGGCCCAAGGGTTCAAATTCTTGCTTTGGACAGACGCGTTGTGGAAAGCGTGTCCCTTGGCAAAGGCACGCCTGGCAGTTCGAACCTTTCCCAGAAATTATTTCGATTCAAAAGCCTCGCTTTTTCAAAGCATTTCCCTATGGCTTTATTGTGGGATTGTGTCTATACTGGTTTCTATACTTGGGGGCAACTGTTTGGAAACGGAGTCGAACGTCTCACAGGGTCCGACCAGGTTGCTAGGCGTAAACTTGGATCATAAACCAGTTTGGTCAGTAGCCCACAGACATGGTATGAGGGGACTAACCAATTGTCGTCAAAATGATTGTTAGAACACAATTGGATTGAAGATCCAACATGGAAGCCACAGGTTCCAAGCCGTTCCGTTCGGGCCAGGCGGATGTGGCTCGTTTCACTGGCGGCCCGGAGGGTGCCTGAAACGAGAACCGCCAAGGTTACAAAACGCCAAGCCCTTGGTGCGGCAGCATCTCTTGCACAGGTCTCCTGAAACTTTCATGTGGTTACAAACGCAAGAAAACAAAGCCCGAGGATCGAACCTATCTTTGGTGCTTTGATTCAGTGAAGGGGGGTCTTCGGCTCAGGGTTGCTCATCTTGTTGCAGAACTCCTGCGCCGCGCGTTCACCTCAAGGCAGTAGAGCGATGGAAGCCAAGGAGCATCAGCGATTCAAAGTGCCACTGCGCGAGCCAAGAGCAAAGCCAGCGCTATGGCAAACGAGCTGTTGTGCGCTGTCTGCCAAAATGGTTACCTGAAAAAAAGGAGGTCATGCACTTTTCAATTCAGAGATTGACGTCCAGTTTTTTGCAGTGTCTTTGTTGGATGTTCTTTCTTCTAACTGTTTTCTTCGGAATTCATGGAGCACCGGGTTTTCTATTTGTGCCTTGTTGACCGGAACGAAGCATCGGTTAAAGCACCACTCTCGCTCGATGGGCAGTTGAAACATCCATCCCACGGCCTACCGCCAGGGTTGCGGACCTCAAAGGTGCTTCGCGTACTGAGAACCGACCCGTTTGTCATATCGGACTGCGAATGAGCAGTTTCCCTTGAGTCATAGTCTCAATTTTTCAAAGCACCCCCCCCTCAACCCCTTTTCCCTTCAATCAAGAGCTGGGCTCCAACGGGTTTTCCCGCGTTTCGTCTGGGCGACTTATTTGCGCGCCGGACCTGAACTCGATGGATGGCGGAGAGCTTCTCGTTGGCGAGCTTTCTGCAGGCGGCGCGGCCCGACTGGAAGGAGGGGCTGGCGCCAGCGGCTTTCGGCTTTGGGGCATAATATGGCTGTGGGTCAAAACCAATGGTACCATTTTGGAGTACGGGCTTTTGACCAATGGCCATAATGTGGCCTGTTTAGGGAAACCCCTGTTTGGGTTGGTCAACCATTCTGAACCCCCAAGCCCGAGATTTTGACATACTCATTTTTTGGTCATTGGTTGCAGCTGGTATTTCTGTGATACCAAGGTCATCCCCTTCTCAAAGATGGGCATGGCCACGTCGGGTATGACAGAAAGAGTCATTTCCATGGGTGACAGGGTTGCGGATTGGGGTGGAAAGGAAAAGCCGTGCCGCTGCACCCGAAGGATTCGCAGCTGGCTGCGGTGGAAGAGAAGTTGGAGAAGGCCGACGAGCGGGCTACGTGGGGAGCGTGGTTCTGGCAAGAGGTTAGACCCGCAACATGCTGGGAAGAAACCGCGCGCGCGCGCAAACTACAAGCACATGTGATTGAGTTCACAAGAAGCAGGCTGAATTTCCAGAGTCCGGAATGAAGAAGCATCCACGAAGGAAGGTGCTTCAGGACAGCATGTTGGACGGTTGCCCTGGCCTTCTGGTCTGCCCCCTCTTCTGCCCTGGCTGGCAATCAGTCACAGCTTGCCTTGTCAAACAAGCCAATCTCACCCATGGTAATGTTTTACCCTGCTGACATCGCGCACCATCGACAACTGCACCCACTATGAAGCTATGAAGTTGGCTCTCAGACGCTGACGTTCCACTTCCCTACTGGTTCCACGAAGATGCCACCCTCAAAGCTACCTTCAAACTGGTTTTGTCATGAAAACCACCCTCCAAATGTAGTGTTGAGAATGTTTTAAGTTGTGCTTGAATGGGCAACCACCGGGACCACAAGTAATTTGGACAGCCCCTCAAAATGCAACAAGTTGGACCCAGTTGTCAGCCCATCGATTCCTGAGGTGGGGGTGACGGACGTCCTCGAATTGGTGCGCTCGCTTAGAGGCCTTTGACGGGCTTTTAGGGTGGTTCGGCCTCCGAAAGATTCCATCTGATGGTTTGGTATCTTTGTCAGCTTTACGGACAGAGTCGAGTTCGCTTCCTCTTGGCAACTTGCAAATGCAGGTGGAGGCTTAATCTTAACGTCTTCAGATTAATAGAACCCAGCAGATCATCAGTTGCTCCTCTTAGGGAGTCGTCATGATCTCAATTTTCGGAGCTGCGGAGACGGAGGGTGGTGAGCTTGACTTGATGCTCTGAGCATCTCACATGGAAGCCGCAACTGAGCCACTTGCTCAAAACCCGGGTAGATGAAGGTTAGTAAGGGGCAGTCCCAACCATAAATAGTTGCGGCCGCCTTCTTAATTCTTTGGTTCTGGGTCGATCATTTTAACACCGGGTTTTGATTGTGACTCAACTGGCCCAGCCCCCAGAGCTGTAGAGGCTCTCTGTAGAGGATCTTTGCGGCCAGGTCGATCCGACCAGCGGCTGAACAACCGGCTGAAGGCTGGATGCTGAAGCCCCGAGGAATTCACTGCAACAGGGCCCTTGTTATCCAGGATTGGCTAGGTGTTATTAACTAAGCGCCCCATCCGAGTGCTTGGTTTCATGTTGGTCTTTCTTTTCAGGTGAAGCTGAGATGTCCAGCAGAGCGCTTCTTTGCAGCGCCTCTCACGAGATCAACTGAGTTGGACTTTGCTGGTTGCTTGCAAATGGCACTGGTATCATCCACCTGCGGTCGTTGGAACAACCCAATGTTCTTTGTTTTGGGAGCGCATAATCACCCTTCCCGCTCATGCTCGCATCTTTTGTTGTTGTGTTGCTCCTGTTTCGGTAAGTGAAATCCTTGGCTTTCCGATCCGCCAACCTGCATAGTGGACTGCATGTTCTTTTTCCTCTTCTCATTCCGGCGGTTCGACAGTTCACGGCTGAACTCGGGGAACCCACGTGCACGGACCCCTTTAATGGAAGACGACTGTCCTTTTGTTTCTTAAGCTCAGAATGACAGAAGCCAGTGTACCTTTTGGAAGATGCCGATGTCGAAGATGACTTGCACTTGCCGTGACCAGCCCTTGAAGGCTTCCGTCAGGTTTTAGCCACGTTGCACATGTTGTTTCTCCCGCTGCGAGAACCAACGTGCAAGGTCCAATAGGGCCCCCTTGCAAGGAGGTTCCATTGGTGGCTTTGGGGGTGTACGTATTGTTTTCTTTTGTTTGGGGGTGCCCACATCAACTGGCCTTCGGCATTGCTTTGGGTCCTTCATCCATCCTGAGAGGGGCCTTTGCAGTAACAACAGTCCCTGGGCTAGCTGGCAACGAGAAACTGAGAACGATACGTAGCTACCCTCCCGAAGCTGCCATGGCAACTGAGTCAGTCGGCCCTTCCTTCAGGCGGCAGCGCCGGTTTTCTGCAAGAGAACGCCAATTCAGACGATCAGAACTGGCACTAGCAATGGGATGAGCATTGGCATGCGTATTGGTTGTAGTAAGTTTAGTATCTGTATAGCAGCGTAGTGCTATTGTTTGCCTTGCACATTGTGTGCCAGGGTAGGCCAATCGATCATCAAGGCCTCCATTTTGTAGCAAGGCCCCCATTTTCCTGGCGAGTGACCAATACCCCGCCACAGGCGGTGGGCGAGAAGTGCTTCACCTCGGAAACGCTGAGCGCGTTAAGACGTCAGGCGGGGAGGGGGAGATCGGATGGACATGGCTGTGGTTGTCAAAACCAATGGTATCCCATTTGGGGTAGGTGCACCACCCATTTTAGTCTATTTTAGTTCGGATTGGGATGTTCACGGGCTTTTGACCCATGGCCACATGGAACCTTTAAAGAACCCCAGGAGCGAGGTTCCTTCAACAGGATGTTTTTGGGTGGTTGGTTTCGGGCGAGGGAAACCGTCTGGAACCGACTACGTTTTGTTGACATACCAACAGATGTGCGTGTGCCAAATAGGCGACCCGCAGAATAGTGGTTTCCCTGTGGGTTCCCTTCCACAAAGCGTAACAAAGGGTGCTGTCAAACAAACACACACACACACACAGATATGCCTGTCTTGGGATCAATGCTGAGACGTTTATGGCCCAGGCTTGCAGAGGCGTCTAGGCCGTCTAGGCGTGTGCGTTGGCTCAGGCTTGGCGGGCAATATCATGGAACAGCTTCTTGTCCCACGCTTGTTTGTCAAGGGACTTGCTAGCATGTTAATGCCCATCATCGACTGGCATGTGTCGTCTCTGAAAGAGGCAGACAGGTAGGGTTAGGAAACATGTGTAGCAACTGACTGATGCAAAACCAAATCGTACTCTTTCCCATTGTGCCTTGGCCTAGCCCCCCCCCTCCCCCCACGGTTGTTCCAGTGCCAGGGATGCACCCTGCCGTGGCGTCGTTTCATTGCCAAGCCTCGGCAAAAGTAGGCAAGACAACAATCAACCAATTTGGGAGGTAAAAGCCACCCTTAGTTGCCATCTCTTGCACTGTTTGTGACCCATTTGCTGTCCAATCAAGAGTGCTGCCGGTATGGTGCCCGGCATTTTGGGAACCTGTTATGCGACCTCACCCGGGAGGTCAGGGCGGAGCCCACGTTACGGGGCGCCGAGAAGCGGGCGGCCAATGCCAGGCGTCTGAAGTCTGAAATTTCCGGGGGGAAGGATTGCGTAGGTGTCCTTTTGATCGGTGAGCCTGGTTAAAAATAGATGGGTTCCACTGGTTTAGATGGGGTTTTGTTCCATTTACCAGGGATACCCATCTATTTTTCCAAAAGGCCACCTATGATTGCGTACTTTTTTGGTTTAACCTACAGGCATATGGCCATGGTTTAAAACCAATGGTACAATTTTGGGATAGCTGCACCATCCATTTTGGTCTATTTTAGTGGGATTGGGATGTTCACTGGGGGTGCGGGGTTTTGACCCACAGCCATATCACCATGTTTAGTGGACCTTCCAAAAAGGAAGCTGACTTCCGTTCGAGTGGATTGGCCAACAAGAGTAGCCTAGCTTTTTCTTTACCACTATGGTCCAAACCCAAACAGATTCAGGTCCAGGAACTCAGGAAGTGAGCATAGGCATGGAACCCAAAACATGTGACAACGAGCTCTTTGTGCTGTAGACTAGAATCACAGAAAAGAGCCTCGAACTCAACAGGAATGAAACCACAAAACATGCCGTGGTCCATTTGAGACCTCTTTTGGGGAGAACTGCCAGTACATCATTTGCAAAATGGAACCCAGGACTAAAAACCGGGGACCCCCCATATCCTAGTTCATTGTTTTGACCCACGCCCAGTTGTTTTGGATTGGGGATCTGAAATTATTGTTCTTGTGGTTCAACAGGAAGCTGCCTCCGTAACCTCTACACCACCAATCCAAGCCTACCTCTCCAACCAACCACAAATCCACTTGATCGGAAGTGAGCTTTTGTTTGGAAGGTCCACCAAACATGGTTGTCTGGCTGTGGGTCCAACATGGGTAATCCTGCGCCCCGGAAATCAGACAAAGACCAAACCACCAAGGGTTACAAAAACCGAACCTACCAAGGGCGGATTGGGGATATGAAATTCTGGTTCTGGTTAACCGGGAAGCTGCCCCCCCCAGCTCTACCTACCACGAAGGGCTGCGCTCGTTTTCGCAGGCTGCTGGCTGCGAGCTCCGCGGAGTTCGACGACGATGACGACGAGAACGAGGACGCCGAGGCGGCGCCGCTGCTGGCGGCGCCCCGGTGGAATCCGGCGGCGGCCGCACATGCGAGGCCAGGGGGCTGGATAGAGCAATATATGGCAGATGAATATGATTAAAATATATACATTATGATATTATATTATATTATATTGCATTATACTAGTATATTATATTATTTTATTTTATAGTATACATATGATATATGTTCTACAATATAGTATGATGTAGCAACATATAATATTCAATGTATGTGTGTACATATATATATATATAGACATACATAATATACGATATGTATATATTATAGAGTATATAAATAGGAGCATACAGGGGTGATTCCCCCGAGAGTGAAGGATTAACATGCGTGATCAACCGGATAAATATATGCCAGCACCCCTCGCAGGGCTGCTCTTGCCCATGGAGTTTCCCTAACACGAGGAACCCCCATTCGAATGGAGACACCACATAAACTAATCTATGACTCAACCAGAGCCACAATCAAAACCTCGGTAGATGAAAGTTGGCAAGGGACAATCCCAACCATACATAGCTGCGGCCGCCTTCTTAATTCCTTACATGGTTCTGGGTGGACCAATTTAGTACCGGGTTTTGATTGTGACTGACCAGGAGTTGACTCATCCTGAGATCCTCCTGTGCTATGAGTGCCCAGTGGCTTGGTAGTGGGTACCCCATAAGAGTCGCCGCGCCAGGCGTGAGGCGGCGAAGGTTGAGGCCTGTGCCGCAGGAGCTGCTCTCCCAAAATCCGCAGTGTCCTTTCCCGCTCAAGTTGTGGGTTCCCCTGTTAAATGTACTGGCATGAACAGCTGCTCCCTTTTTCAGCATGCGGTTTGGATGGGATCAGCAAGTTTTGGAGCCCTTGGCCCGATGGCCAGCGGGGAGCGGGCTGCGGGCTTTGGCAGAGCTGCCATGACTTATCCGAGGATTAAAGCTGAAGGGGCTCTTTTGAGATAGCCTTGACACGGACGCCTCAAATGAACGGCTCCGTTCAGATCTGCGAATCCTTGAATTTCCCAGTCCTGACAGAACAGGACCTTCGGCGCCGCTGCCCACGTCCAAAGCTGACATGGTGGAGGAGTTGGAGAAGCTGGGCCTCGAGGCGTGGGAAGCGGGCGAAAGCCAAGGCCCCGATTGACTGAGGGGCCAGTTTGGGACTCGTCATTCGCCCAGATCTCATGGGGTATGGAGACCATCCAACTTGGGTGTGTGGGCCAGGTCCCCGGGGTATCACATAGACTCATCTTCCAGGGTCCCCAGGTTTCCCTTAGGTGGCTTGGATGTTTCACCTTGGCCAAATGCAAGTGAGATGACTGTTGGTGACGCAGGGGTCCTTGTTTTCTGCTTGTCCCAGACAAACCAGGAACGTTCACGTTTTTCTCTCTCCATGACCACATGTGGCAGGTTTTTTTGGAGGAATACGTAGCGGAGCCATTCCGCGTTGCATACCCTATGTAACAACACCTACTGGCTCGTTAGGGCATACCTCGATGAGTGCCGAGACTCTCAGTGGTTCCTGCAAGGGTGCCTGCGACACTTGCAGAGCTCGCTTCAGAGCAGAGCGGTTGGAACAGGTAGCAGAGAGGGGCCAGAAGAATCTTCTTTCCGTGCTATAATTACCTTGCTGTATAACTTGCTACATAGTCGCTACCAGCCCCGGTCCAGCGACCCTTCGCTTGCCCTTCGCTTGCGCTGGTTGCAACTTTCGAGCTGGAACTGTGGAGGGGCGCTTTGCGTGCCGCGCTTGTACTGCAAAGCTTCGACTTTCGAGCTGGGGCTGCGAAAGTGCACTTTGTTCCGCGCTACATTGCGCGACTTGTGCTCGCGTAACAGAAGTGCCAAGCACTATTTTTCCATACATACCTACGTGACAAAGACTCCCATTGAATTCCTCCGTGACAAGGTTCATGCCGCACCGTGTGCTGTATAACCTCAAGAAACCATATCCATAGTATGTCAATTACTGCAGGGCCCTTTTTGGACACCAACCCATTCTATGCCCGTGGCTCACAAGAGCGAACTCTTGCAACTCCTGCCTTTTTCCTAAAAACAGCACATAAGCCAACCAGACGCAGTCGGGTGGTTCACTTTGGGGTTCCCACGCCATTGATCGGTGGTCCGCCAGAGGAACTTCCCAACTCCCAGACGCCCCCACAGGCCTTTGAGCGCCCAAAAGCTCCGAGGCTTCCGCCGCGCCGGCGCACGCGCTGCGCGCGGCGCTGCAGGAGGTGCGGCGCCTGCGAGCGCTGCCGGCGCCGGAGCTGCAGGCGGCGGCGGAGGCGCGGCCCGCGCGTGGCGGTCTCATGGGGAGCTTCTGGGGGTTTGCTTTTTGGGGGCGGATTTGGGTTCCCACAAAAATGGTGTTGAAGTCTGGTGGTTGGAACCCCCAGGCAAAATTGTGGACAAACAGTCAGAAGTCTTCGTGTTGAGTATGTGCACCAAAGGATGTTTGATTGAATTTCACACCCAATTATGAGCCCTGGGTCTGCAAGAATGACGGTTGGAGCCAGGTGACACACCCTTAAGGGTACATGACAGCCGTCCTTGATGTAATTTGGTGATGTCTCCAGTTTGGCGCACGTATTTACGACGTGAAGAGACGTAGTGGCGAGGCGAGCAGATGCTTTGGGACTTACTTGGCTTGGGGGAGAGCGGCTCCTTTCAAGCCCCATATCTGTTGCAAATTGGAATGTCATGCAAGGGGTATGCCAAAAGTACACGAAATTGGATATCATGAAATGCCACTCACAGTATGTTTTGGACAGGTGTCAACTCCTAGCTTGGAACCCCATCCCAATGGTTAGTTATTAAGCTTATATTTGGCTCCCCCTTTATCCTTTACTCAGCTGCCCAAAACGGGTGGAGGACACCTTGCCTTCACGGATTGGTTATGCATCCTCATGACTGCCCATGTCATGAACACCTCAAGCATGCATTAAACATTGAACCTTTTTGAGCAACTTTGGTCATGCTTTGCTCCCTTGACCAGACTCTCAAGTGGCCAGTTTTTGCTTGGCCAACTCCGAGGTACCAAATCCAGGGCGGAAACGCGGTGGTCCGTTTTGGCACAACTCCCAAGGGTACCAACTCAAAGGGACCCCAATCCATCGCACAGGCGCAGGGACTTCAGGGTGCCAGCGAGGAGCTCCTGAGGCGCGCGGAGCGCGCGGAGCGAGAGCGCCCTTGTCGATTTCCCCGGACCCCGCCATGGGTCAAAATCAAAACCCCGTACCCCTAGTGAACATCCCCATCCAACCACAAAAATAGACTAAAATGAGTGGTGAATTCACCAACCCCAAGATGGTACCATTGGTTTTGACCCACAGCCATATACCAGCATAGACCCCAGATAGCATGTGAGATTTCACCAGCACCGAAACCAGCACCCTGAAAGCATCGCCAAAGAAGGCACGCCACACCACCTTGAGCACACCAGACAGCGGCCTGACTAGCATCCAGAATCACCAGTCAAAGCATCCTGACCAGCACCCAAACAGCACCCTGACTGCGTCGCCAAACAAGCCCCGCCAACAACCACCAAGCACCTTGAGCGCACCAAACAGCAACCTGACCAGTGCCCTCAACAGCCAGGCACTTGCCACGGCACCGAAAAGCGCTCTGACCAGCACCTGCAACAGCAGCCTGACCAGCACTGCACCCAAAAACAGCACCCTCACTGCATCGCCAAACAAGCGCTGCCAGCAAGTAGCACAAACAACAGCAATCAGAAGCACAACCTGACCAGCCAAAACCCTGACCAGCACCCAACAGCACCCTGACTGCATCGGCACTGCACCCCTGACAAGCACCTGCATCGCCAACCTCGCCAGATTTTTTTGTTTTGACGGGAAAAACACCGTCACCAGCACCCCAAACCGCACCCCAAACTGCATGCCTCCTAGCGCCCTACCGTCAGTCAATCGCGACCAAAATGTGCCCGCACCGTCACCGGCACCAGGCCGAAACAGCACCCGCCACAGCACCCCAAACTGCATGCCCCCTTCCGAACAGCACCCCCAAACAGCACCCGCCGTAGCACCCTACTGTGAAACCTCACCAGCCCACCCCAAATCAGCAACTGCAAACTGCATGCACCCTGCCATCCTCTCAATCTCGCAAAAATGCGCAGCACCTCGAACAGCACCCTGAACAGCACCCCCAAACTGTATGCGCCCTAGCACCCAGCAGTCAATCTTGCACATCACTTTCCCTCTTTATTAAAAGTTAGAACCCCTGTAGCTTTCAGCTATCTGGGGAAAGAATAACATAAGGTCGTTGAGTGATTTTTGTTTGGTTCCCCTCAAGCTTTAGATTTGATGCCCCACATTATTATTGAGAGAGTCCTGCTGCATTTCCTCTTTAAAGTGACAACGGTATGTGTTCCCCTTTGAAATGCAACCTCCGCCTAAACTGTGAGGCCCAGTACCTATAGTCATCCACTTCCAGGCCATTAAGGCCGGAAATAATGCCAGAACATCCAGAGCACTGGACAGAGCGTTTTCCCTTCTGCCTGACTGGGTTTCTTTGGATTTCTCGTTTCTCTTGGTCTGACCCAGGCAACCGGTCTCAAGGGCACTTACCTTTGGGGAGCCACTCGCAAGGGGCACGCAAGGGGTGCTTGGAGTCTTTGTTCGCATTTCTCACAGTGGCACATCTGGGTGTGAATCTTCCTGGGTCCCGATGGCGGACACCATTTAAATGCGGGTAGAAACGTCCACCACTGGCAGGGCGGTTCCAACTCCCGTGGCTGAAGCCCAATCTTGTGCCCGGAGGCAGATGCTGGAGACCTCCTTCCCCGACCTGCGGCGGGAGGTGTCCCCTGAGGATGGGGACCCCGCAAAGAAGCTTAGGGTTGCTCCTCTGAAAACTCGTCCGAAAGCATTGGGCTCACCTTTGGGGCGATGTTAGTGTCCTAACCCTAGTTGTTCCCTCTTGCCAGTCCGTGTCACATCGGCATGTCGATTGACCTCGAAGCGGGAGCTCCAGAACTCCAGCAGGTAGCCGCATCGCCAAACCATCGCCATTGCTAGCCTTGCACCCAAAGCCACATGTCCCCAAAAAAAAACAATAGCCTAAAGGAGATTGGTACCTTAGGCGGGGACCCTCCACTCCTCTCACCCAGCCAGCCAGCCAGCCAGCCAGCCACCCACCCACCCACCCACCCACCCGCCGTTTTGTTTCACCCCACAGGAGGAGTGCAGCTTCCAGATCCTCACTCCGAGCCCAGAGCCTTTGTCGCTGTCCACGCTCTTCCTGAACTCCGAGGCTCCCACCCGGACCCCGGACCACCAGTTAAACCTGTGAAACGGATCAACCAGAGTCCAAGAGCTGGTGGAATTCACAGCTGCGCCCAAATGTTTGAGAGTCCGATGGAAACGAACAGGGAATTTCAGGTGGTCTGTGTTGAGCTTGAAGGAACGTGTGGTGTTGGCGCTCGAGTGCAATTCAGCTCAGATGTCCAGGAGACCTGATTTGTGTTGATGTGCGGTCCCTACCTTGCCTTCTGAGTTGGCGAACTTGAAAGCTTGTGCTGGTGGTAGTCGTATTTGTTGTCTTGGTGAATGCCCAACGTCTAAACTTTTGTTGACCAGGCCGTTTAGCAGGTCAGCTACCGTACCTTTGCAGGGTTCCCTACCGGCTCAGCCTTTGGGATTCTGTGCCGAACTGCCATGCATTGCGATTGCATCGCCGCGTTCTTTGGTAGCTACGACTCCAGACTCCTTGAATCTGCCCAAGGAATGAGTGTCCAGTGTTCCGTTCATGCCCGGATGTGCCATTTGCCAATAGACTGCTTACTAGGGCCCTACCGGCCCGTCAACCCGAGGACCGTCGAAGCCACCTGGTTTTTTCCGCGCCAAAACGGCCATCCCTCTCACCCAATCTTTGACAACGGGGGGAGCCTTTCCCTAAAGGCATTAGGCTGGAAGCTGGTTGACTCTAGGGATCCTTGGAGGCTTCAAGGGCCTTGACTCAAGGGATGGTGTTTAACTGACCTTCCTGTTGCATATCTCAAAATGGTCCCGCATGATGGTTTCCCTTTTGGCTTTCTAACCATGGAGCCTCGAACAAATGCACCATGGCCTCAAATCTGGCGATACCTATCCACGAGTGTTCCTTGCCTCAGACAGCCTTTGTCCCCAGGCGGATTTGCTGATGCAATGCGGGCTGCTTAGATTTGCCCCAAGGGACCAGACGGATGCGTCTGAGCATTTCTGATTCGACGCGGCTTTTCCAGAGTGTACAAAGGCCACACCAATCCCAAGCACCACCCTAAACCACCATTCCAAGCCAATCCAAGTCGAACAAATCCCAAACCATCAATTCAGATCACCAATCCAACTTTTACCAACCTAGATATGTCACCAACCGCAAGAGGGCTCCTTTCAAGGCGTCCATGGAAACTTGAGGCAAAGCCCGAAACCTGCGCGTGGAGGGCATGGAGTCAAGGGGCAAGGGCTTTCTGGCGCGGAGCTCACGAGCAGTTTGGGCGGGGGAAGGGGGGGGTTTGATGGATATGAGCAACGGAGAATATGTTTAGTGGCTCCCAGCCATGCGGTTCCTTGGCTTTTTAGATCTTGTTAGATCTTTTTGGTTGGTTTGGTGGGGGTTCCACAAGTTAAACTTTTAGCCGGGGATCTGAGGACAGCCCAGTGTTGACAAATTCGGGGGCATACCCAAATGAACCAACTGCAAGTATTGTCCATGGCTACTGTATACCCATGTGTACCGTTCCCCCTTTTTCACGGGAAAAGATAAAATATAGTTTCTGGTCATCCCATGCAAAGAACCTTTGATCAACAACAGGGATTTGGACCCACCAAGTGGTGCGGTTTTTTTGCTTGTCTCCTTTAGACCAACCTGAAAGGGGTCGCCTCAAACCCATGTCATTTGGATGTGTGTTTGTTTGGATAACACCCTGTGTTGGGATTTAAAGGATGAAAGCGAAGATCATTCCATATTGGCGGATTCTCCATTTAGAGACGACGTCATGCTACAGGCTCGGAGGGGCTTTTGCAGAGATAGCCATGCTGGTCTTCAGTGAGAGATTCCCTTTTCGAGGCCGGGTAGGACATGTATGCACTGGAACTCATTTGGTGGGGACTAACTGCCATCAAAGCCAGTGACAAAAAAACAGTTGTTCCCCGTGTGGATTTCGGGAAAGTTGGGCGTCCTTGTTGTCCTCCCCAGGGTATCATGAAGAGAGCCAAGCACTCGTAGCCCATGTGGATGCTGTTTTCGGGTACCCGTGTTTGGTGTGTGTTTTTTTCTCCCGACGCCAGAAGGAAGAGGAATTTGAGGGGCCCATAAACACGACGCAACCATGGCCCCCCTCGCCTACAAGGCTTTGAATATTCAGTGTCCCCAACTGACCTCGGATTTCGCGCACAATTGCCTCTTCGTACTTCGATGTGCACAGTACATTTCTCACAGATTCGGCCAGCTACTTTGTACAAATCTTTGGCGCCCTGGGGCTCCCTTTTCGGGAAAGCAATGGCAAGCCGAAGGGAACTCTACTGCTATTTGGTTGGATCTTTAGACTTTAACTTTTTGGATTCCCCTCATATTTCCTTTTAGCCAGCAAGAAGTTTAACTTTTTGCTCGGGGATCCACAGCACCCAAGGGACACCACCCATTCTGGGGGGGGGCTTCCATATCCTATGGAGACAAACGGAGCCAACTTGGAGCTCAGGCAGTGCTCCTGAAGATGGAGAGCCGCAGGGAGTACCTGCAGAGCTTGGCGCCCCAGAAAACGATACAAATGGCCACAAAGCGTTGGTCTGGGGAGGACGCTCCTCGAAATTAACCTGTTTTTTGTAGAGTGTCCCTTTAACCACCAAGAAGTGTTCCACAGTGTTGAAGAACCTTCATATGGCAATGATGTGTTTGAGGGGTTTCTGTTCAACAGAGCCGCGGCGGACATTCGTTGCAGACCTCGTTGCAGGCCTCTGCAACACCAAAAGGAGATTCCTTTAAGCAATCCGCAGAAACCAGGATCCATAAAGCCCTGCTTGGTTGACAGGGGGCTGTCCCATTTCAGATCACGGGTGAAACACCCCATTAATGTCAGTGCACGACTCCTGGTTTTTCCTGGTGCTTCCCAGGTTCCCACCAACACTAAAGTAAAGGGCCCACAAGGTTTGCCCAAAAACCCTGCCCAGCCTCCCGAACCCCCCTCCTTCTTGCTTAGTGTTTGCTTAGTCTGGCTTAAACCCACCAATGCCGCCCAGCCCCCCTCATCAGAAAAACGCCCTAGTTGAAGCGCTGCCTTTTGGTCGCAAGGGCCGAAGAGGTTCTCCAGGTCCTGCTTCCAGATCAATTGTCTTGGAGTAGAAATGCAGGGAGACCGAAGGGGCCTCCAAAGATTTCAGTTTTGGGAGCTTGTCCAGATCTTGAGTGGAGGGGGCTTGTACTGATCAGGAGTAACGATCAATCGTCCACCGGAGCAATCCGGGGTCGACATCATCTAAGGTGCCCCTTTGCCCAATTGCCACCCTAAAAAACCCAGTAGGCTGACAAGTGACAGGTCCTTTCTGTAGCGTTTCTTTCAATGCAAACGCCTGGATTTGGTAATTGAGTCCTAGCAGATACCACACATATGCGAATTAGTTAAATCTAGCGTCGGATCAGCGGAGATATTTTGAGGCTATTTTGGGCTGGATCCAAGGCTCCCTCCTCAAAACAAAAGACAAAGCCGCAAATGTTGCGCAGCATGTCCAAGGCTCTCAGCTTGCCTCGCAAATGTTGCACACGGTGCCCAGCGACAAATGTTGCACAACATTCGGGAAACATCGCGTTGCCCGCTGGACAAAAAAAGGCAACACACCAAACAATAGTAGAAATGAAAGCAAAAACACACCACTCATGGCGGGGGTATGATACGTGTTTCGGCGTTTTTCCCCAAACAGCTGAGCGGTTGGGGTTCTCCATTCATGCAAAGAATTTCAAGCAGTCACGGGATGGTTCGTCCCTGTACCAACGCTGTCTCACTTGTCTCCTCGCTTGGCGTGCTGCTTGGTGACTTGGACGGATTGTTTTGCAGCGAGTTGTTGCGTGAAGAAGAACTTTTGGGAAGGCACAGCGCTTGCTCCAGGTGTGAGAGAGGCTCCGCTCAGCCCCCCGGCGCCGGGCGTCGCTTCCGGCGCGCTGGTTTGAGCTGGGCGCGCGCGGCGCGCGCGCCTGGGGTTTTAAAGTTAGCTAGGTGAAAGCGGATGGCGCGATCTGTTACCCGCGCGGGTGCGCCTCCAAATGGCCGGCTTCTGCCTGGCTTTGAAATGAGAAATATCTCACAAAACGGAATTTTAGTTTTGATACATCATTGTCCACACATGCTTTGGTCCCCGGAAAAGGATGGAATTGAGGTCCAATCACGCCGTCTACTTTCACTCAATCTCTGGCCTGCCTTTGACGATGCGGCCTGCAAAAAAGCTGCTGGCCGAATCTGTGAGAATGGATCTATGCAGAACACTGATGGTCTTTGAGGCAAAACCAGGGTTCTGCAACCAGTAGGTTGAACAGGTAGGCCATGTCAGGGGCGACAAGTCCCGCCGCTTGCTTGGCTCAGAGTTTTGAGGGAACGGAAGACAAGCGCCACAAGTCCAAGTCCGGCCAAGCAACGGAGACGGTTTGCACTTTGTTCTTTAAAAAGAAATAGGCCAGGAGTCCAGGGAAACGAGCCCATCGATAGCAAAACCATCACAAAGGTTTAGATTAGCGCGCTCAGCGACGGAAGGGCGGCTGAGCCCGGCGACAAGCCAGGCGTGTGGTTTGGGGCAGAAACCTTGATGCGACCTGAAAAGAGTGTTCGTTGGTAGTTCAACATGCTCCCAAGTGGCTGCGTTTGCCTTTAGTCTCCCCTTTGCAATGCACCCCAGCTCAGATCCAAACCAGCGCCGGAAATCAAACCCCCTTCTCAAGACCGAAGGCCTTTCCATCCCAGAAGGAGAAGCCTGTTTTCAACCTGATTCTTTTGTGCGTCTCACTCTCACATTTTCTGTTTTCCGAAAATTGTCTGAAATGAGCTGCATGTGTTTAGGTCCCGGTACCCCCCCTCTATTTAAGGAATTTGGGTTGTATGGTGTTGTATTGTGTTGTATTGAAGATCCTTACGGGTCCACTTGAGGAACGAGGGTGGCAATTGGGAAAGTCGTTCTTTTAGTTTGTCCTTTTTTTCAGATGGCGCCGTCTTCTCGTTGGCGTCGTTGGGTTCGCGTCGAAGCAGTTTGACTACCCTTGCAGCTCTGCCTTGTATGAGCTTCATTCTGTCGGCCACTCAGTATCAGCTGCAATCCGCATTTTCCCATGCCAATGCTCTATGGGTGAGCAGCTATTGCAAGTCAAACAACCCTTAGGTACACGCCTTAAATGCTTAGGCGGAAGGAAACATGAAAGTTGACAACCACAAAAGGAGATCTTGCGAAAGAGGATTGGCATCTCTCTCTTTTTCTCCAAGTAGACACCCCTTGTAAACTTGCTGGTGCTCAGCAGGGAATGAGAATTGAAACGACCCTGATTTAGACCATCCCCTATGGTTTCCTGTAAGGCTGAAAGAATCCCAAGGTTCATTCCCTCATTCCCTACCTATCGCACGAGCAAATGGATTTCAGAGCGAGCCAGGTGCCATGGCGACTTCCGCTGAGGGCACCGAGGTGGTGGTGACGCCTTACAGGCGACCTTGGTGGTTTTTCAAACGGGTATGTGCCTTTTTAGGGTACCCACCTTTTTTGGGAACGAAAAGGGCAAACCCTTTTTGTTGGGTCCCCTATTCTGACGCAAACCCAAATGGTCCTCCATTTTGCTGGCATGTCAAGGGAGGGCAAAAGGAAAACCAATTTTACTCCGCCCTAAACTGCCAGCCAAACCAACCCTAAACTGACCCCAAACCAATCTCAAACTCAAAGTGGCGAAAGTCCGCAGCCTTACTCGGTCACCATCGATTCATGGGTATCTACAATGTATATGTATATATATATATATATTAATATACTTATTTATCTGGTGGTATCTGTACAGACACATTTTACTCTGTGCCGGCCCTCATTCTCGTGGGGCTGACCGGTTGGACCTCGCGCTTCGAACCTCCGGAGGTTCGACGCGGAGCTGCGGTGGGTGCCCACCGGCGAGGCGGCCGCCAAAGTGCGCCTCAGCCGGGAGGCGCGGACTCGACTTGACAGCCTCGAGTCCACGGAGTCCGAGCCGGAGGAAGGAACTAGGGCCCCCAGCAATTGGTGCCAACTGTTACCGTTGATTTTTTTGGGAGGGTTCCCTGCTAAGACAGACTGCAGAAAAGAGGGTGCCCTTATTCTAACTTCTCTGCTGGAGGACCAAGTCCCCAAGGGTTGTGGTTGAGCAAAAGGGGGTTTAAATCATTCCAACTACTTTTTTGTGATACTCTTGGGAATCAAACCTTCTTATATGGTGTGATTCTACTTTTGGGAATCCCCGTTCTTTGGGAGGCCCTTTTGGTTGTAGCATAGGGCTGTGGGCATTTTCGCCCAGCCCTTGCTTAGTGGTGCACGGAGGGCTTGCAAGCAAGCTTGCTTGTTTGGTCGACCGAACTGCGAAAGGGAACCAAGGATTGTTTGAACAACAGATGTTGAGCATAAACAAGACTCTCCATGACTCCCTTTGCACATGTCGACCCAAGATTTACGGCCACGCAGAGAGTGCCCCACGAACTGATGTGTGTGTGTGTGTTTCTTGGCTGGCGAAAGGTGTCCTTTTGAGAAGTGTTTGACTTGAACATGGATGGATTCCAGTGGCTGCAGCTTGGTTCTAATCATCTACCAGTGCCGTCAACTTTCCCAAAAGGACGCCTAACCATTCCCCTAAACGGTGAACCCCGAATTGAGGGGTAAAGGAGGCGAAAGCGCCTGAAAGAAAGCCCAACCTTCAAGGCTCTGCTTTGCTGTTTGGTCGGTGTTTGTGGGGGGAATTGGAATCCGGCAGAACGGCTCGCAGGGCTTGCCGGGAAAGTATGTTGTGTTTTCTTTGAGGCCCTTTCTGTGGATAAAGGCAACTGGCGAGTGGCGTCCCTGTTTGAGGCAGACCCACAATGTTGTTTGTTTGTGGTAATTGTTGGGCGCGGTTATGTTTGGTTGTGTTGCTCGTTTCTGTTCCTCCCTGGAAAGCTGAAAATGAATATGGTGAGTTGACATTGATGTTTCATGTGACCATGACAGGTGTGTGTGTGTGTGTGGGCACGCATGTGTATATGGTGTATGTGTGTACGTGTGCATATGTGGCTGTTTTTATGTCTGGGTCTGCGTGAGCGTTTGTGTCTGCATTTGCGTCTGTGTCTGTGTCTATGTCTGTGTGTGTGATTGGGCTTGGTTTTCAACGAATCTCCTTCTGGCCTGTCAACCCATCGGGGCAATTGGGGACGGAGCAAGACCCTTCCCAAGCTGCTTGAGTCTAAGCTGCTTGAGGAATACGAATGGTTGGCAATTGTTCTCCACGAAGCACAAGCAAAGAGTTGTGTACGGCGAGTATTTTATTGTTAGCTGCTAGCTTCCCTCTGATCTTTACAGGTGCGGAGTAATATGCTTATCTGAGACTCGAATACCCATTATCAGTTGGGATCCTTAAGAGATGACCCCCGGACGGGATCCAGCCCAGTCGGGGTTCAAAACGCATTGAGTCAAACATAGAGACCCCTCCCACAAACAACCCCGTTGAAATGTTTAAGCTTCCTCGTAAAAGGAAGCTCTATGAAGCCCTCCGTTTTTCCAACAACACATATCTAGTCATGAGAGTCAGTCTTTCAAAAGGGCTACTCCCAAAATTGTCTTTGCTTGCTCGTTTGTTTGCTTACTTGTTTGTTTGTTTGTTTGTTTGTTTGTTTGTTTGTTTGTTTGTTTACTTATTTGTTTGTTTGTTTGTTTGTGTTTGTGTTTTGTCAAGTTTGTTTTGTTTGGTTTGTTTGTTTGGTTGGTTTGGTTTGTTCTATAACAACACACTTCTCACACCTGAATACAGTGCTTCTCTTTTTCGGATGGAGACCTCAGCTTCGGAGGCCGTGATCGACCAACCAAAACCCGAGAGGCCGCTCTGAGCTGGCGGCTGGTGCTGGGCAGCCAGAGCCATGGCAAGCGTTTACCCGCCGAAGCGGCCTGTGCCACGCGTTGCGCCCGTGTTTTTTGACCTCAACCCATACGTCAAGCCGATTTGTTTTGGGTGGGTTCGGAACCAATGGCTCACCTCACCTTGAATTGTTATCCTGGGTTTGCTTGTGAAAGGAGCCTCTTGGAGCCTCTTGTCCCTCCTTTAGAACCCCCCCCCCCCCAATAATTTGCCATGCGTTCACTTCCCCTTCGACCTGCCAGAACCTTTCACCTTCTTGCATCCTTTTGCATTTTCTTACCTGGTACTTGTTTCCCGTCATTTTCGTCAAGTCCTAACTTTTTTCGGGGGCTCCGTTTCGGTGCTCAAGGAGCGTGTTGCTGGCGGAGGTCCGTAGCTCTTCCATGCTGGCGCCCAACTTCCTGGCGCGATCGGATCGCGGGGTTTCTCTTCCCGTGCGAATCGAGTCGAGACTGCGGTCGAGTGTTGAAACCGTGAGGGTGCATGATCGAGGTTTTGCATGGGCTCTAGAGCCCCATCCAGGTGACAAGATCTATGGTTTTGGTCCAAGTGATAGCCCTCAGGTCATAGCTTCCTGGGACAAATCCGCCCAAACCCATTCCCCCACTCTTTCGGCGGTGGTTCTTTTCGCAGGTCCTGGAGCTGGTGAAGCAGGGCTTCGTGGGCCTCAGGTGCGAGGACGAGCCCGGGGCCCTGTTCGCCCGTCAGCACAGAGACTTGGGTTACAGGAATCCTGGATGTGGATGGGGAACGGATGGATGGATGGATGGATGGATGGATGGATGGATGGATGGATGGATGGATGGATGGATGGATGGATGGATGGATGGACAGAAGGATGGATGGAATGGAATGGAATGGAATTGGATGGAATGGATGCAATGGATGCAATGGATGCAATGGATGCAATGGATGGAATGGATGGAATGGATGGAATGGATGGAATGGATGGAATGGATGGAATGGATGGAATGGATGGAATGGATGGAATGGATGGAATGGATGGGTAGCTACCTATGGTTGGTAGCTCGATGTCCGTGGTTTGTGGCAGTATTTCACGGCCGAGTTTTGGTTGGTAGCCTGGGGAAGATCGAGAACCGTAGAAGAAAAATGGCCACCGGCCCGAAAAGAGGGCAGGATTGAAAGTTGTTTGCACATGCTCGGCACCAAGCCGAGAGTCAGGAGCGGAGGAAAGGGATGGTCATCCGGTCATCAACCCCTAAATAGGGTTTTACAGAAGGGAGCCTGAAATCAAGTGGGTCATAGGTTTGTGGTTCTTTTGGCTGTAAAAGATCCACAAAGCAACGCCAGTTGGTAGGCGGCTTAATTATCAACCAGTTTGCATATTCATCATCCGGTGCAAAGCAGATGTTGTTCATCCGTCGTGCGTCTTTGGCAGGTTAGTTCCCAAAACCAGCAATTCGCTTGGGTGTCGTTGAAATCTATGCAGCTTGTGGGGAATGGAGATCTTGTGCAGGCCAAAGGAAGCCGTTCTTGGGGGTTTTGAAAGGGAACCAAGATGAAGCCGACTCGTCTTGAAGGTCTTTTCTTATTGGGAAACCAACAGGACCAACCGCAAACCAACTGTTGGGTCGATGTCTTATGTTGGACACCCAAGTGGTTCTACCCCTGTTTTGGATCGCGGGAAGGCAAAAGGGAAACAAGCTCTAAGCCCCAAGCTCCAAACACAACATCTGAAGCCATAATGTTTGGGCCTTCAGCCTTAAACGGCTAAGCAAAGTAAACCCATGAAGCCCTCTAAACCCAATGACGCCTTTTAGCCCCCAAGGCCGGAGGCCCAATTTTTTTTGAGCCGCGCTTTGGACCCGTCCCGGAAATCCGAACTCCGAGGTCGGCCTTCCAGAAGTTTGCCTCTGAGCTCTCCCAGCGCCGAGCTGACGCGAGCTCAAGCATCACGGGGGGGTTGCTCTTGCCACGCACGCACACACGCAGAATAGGTCAGTCAGCCCCCAGCTGTCGAGCATAGATGGTTTTCCAAGGAAAGTACTTGTCGGATGCCTCAAAAGATCTCTGAAGTGTCTATTGTTTGGCGGAAGTTCTCTTCACCAGCAAGCACCCATCCATGCCTTCCCCTTTGGCAGGCGCTAAGTGGCAGCAACATGCTTTTTGTAGTCTTCTGTTGGTTGTGGGAGGACATGGGAGACAAGCCAAGTCTCGAGCTCAAAATCAGGGATCGACCCAACTTTCCCATCCATGTACCCTTGGAGGAGAAAACCTTGTTGGTGAGTCATGTCGGTGGGTCATTTGCAGGGCTCCCACTTATAACACGTCCTTTCCACCAGACCGAAAGGACCTGTTGGGGGCCGACGATTTTTCAAAAGACATGAACATGTGTTTGTTTCAACCCGCAGCCATCAAACATGTCCTGCTTGGTTACATGAACTAACCGATTACGGGGGGTAATATCATGGGGGTTGCCGTAGGTGTCCTTGAGACTCCGGTGCCAATCGTGGATTTGCTTTCTGATGCCGGGGTTCAACGGCAAGCCACCATGTTTGTCAGCTTGTGTCAACTCCAAGGTCCCTGTATTTTTGAGGGTGCCCTTGTTACTCTGCATTAAAGGAAAACCAAGAGAAAAGCCACAATTCTTGGGGTCCCTTGCTTTGAGACATCCCCGTATGCCATTCAAACTGTCCCCAAATCAAAAGGCAGCAGAAGAAAGCTCAGTCTCCTGAGGATTACGAGCGCTTCGAGCAATATGAGCAAAGTAGCCGCTCGGCGACAGCATTTTCTACATCCCCCGCACTGTTTGGGGCGGGGGGGGGGGGGGCTGGCGGGGGTTTAGTCAATTTTTGGAAATGAATCAGAGCTCATCTGGCTTGGGGAGGCATTCTCAATAATATTGCGTTTTTCTCCAGCTTTGTTTTAGCCAGTTGTAACTTTGGGGTGAGGCCTGAGCGGCCTGGACTCTTTATGCGTGGATATGGGTGCTGCATGAGGCGTTCAAAGCTACTTCCAATACTACGCCAAGCTGTCCAACCAGCAGAATATGCTGCAAGACAGCGTGCGGACCTCCACGTATAATCGAGCGATCGCCGGAAGCTTAGCCTGATGGGACTCTTGTCAGAGACTGTATGTGAAGCGTGGGCAATCAAAACTCGAGTAGTCCATTTTTTCATTCTGGAGGGGCATGGGGCGACTCAATAAATCTCCCACAAAAACCAAGGAGCTCATCGCAATTGGTGCCTGTGGGTGGGTGTGTGTTTATTCCTTCTGGATGCCTTGCAGTATCCAGTCGCGATTGTCTCGTGCTCACAAGCCAAGCCAAAGATGTGGTGCCCATGGCTTCAGGTGGAGAACCCCGATGACTTCGCGGGGAAGATCGGCCTGGACTTGGGCGCTGGCAGCGGCATCCTCTCGTTCTTTGCCGTGCAGGCGCTCGGAGGGCTCGGGCGCGTAGGCAGGAGGTCTTTTTTGCAGTTTACGCAAAACGAGGTGTTGGGCTCCCTTGAACTGACACGGGAATGCAGAAGGGGCAAGAGTCCATGTCAGACGGGCATTCGGAATAGGGCATGTCCTTTCCAACCAATAGGTCCCTTATGATGCGGCTCCTCTTTGTTTGACAGGGCCGGTGTTTCCCTTTTCACTCATGGGGAGAAGATCAAACACGGGGCTTTCCTGACTCGGAATCCGTCTCGCCTTGCCTTCAGCGTGGGGTGAGCCAGGCGGGTGCTGAGAAGGTTTATGCCGTCGAGGCCGCGCATAGGGCTTGGCCCAATGGGAGCCGGGCTCTGTGGTCCGTTTGGGCAGGAGATGGGGGATTCGCTAACTTGTTCCCACGACATAGGTGACTCACTGATTGTGTTGACTTGGGAAGCATGTTGAACATGTGCTTTTTGTGTCACCTTGTTTTCGCGTGTTGGTGGTTTGAGGTGTCGCCTTTTGGTTGCCAATTTAGAGTCAGATGGAGCCTCCATGAAGTGGGGTGATGCTTTTGCGGGATAAGTTGTGGATACAAGAGTCACGCTGGGTGTGTGCAAAATTCGGGCATCCCTTCAGGGCCTCTCCCTGTAGCTTCCCTTAGTTCCCAAAGCCTTTGGTCCCATTTGATTCCAGGTTCAGGCATAGCGGGAAATTCGAGGAGACCACCCATAAACAGCACGGGTAATACTAATACATTGTCTCTGGCGTGATTCCAGTCACACTGGGGTAAGAAGGGCCTGAAAGGGAGGGAGCCCTTGCCGGCTTTTGCGCTGAGAGTTTGGTCTTTATAACCAGATACTCTATTAATGGACAAAATCATGAACAATTAAAAAGTGAATTATCCCAACGTTCATAGGATTTAATTACTTCTGACTGACTAATTAATGCAATATTTTATCCATCTAAAGCATTATGAGGAGAAGTCTATTCAAAGCCCTGCTGCAACTTCCGGATCTTGAACTTTGTTACTTGGGACTGATAGTCGCGCTCAGCTCACGGAATCCCGTCCTGGCGCTTTCCAAAGCAGATTCTTACCTCTGAACACCCAAGAGCTGACTGTTCTAACAAATGTTGCATTATTACTATTACTGTTATTATTATCATTATTGTTATTGTCATTATCATCATTTATTATTAGTATTGTCATTATTATTCTTATTATGATGACGATGATTATTATTATTTGTTAAACCCGTACTCTAAGTAGTTTCAACCATAGTTGATTTTGCAGCGGCCAAGTTCATTTTCAGAGTTCTGAGATAAACAGACTCAAGTAGGAATGTCCAAACGTGAGTTGGGTTTACATTATCGAATTCAAGAAGTGTTTCATGCAACGTAACCTACTCCTCGGTGTGTCTCCAATGAGGCCTGTGCCTAACGTTTTGACGATTGGGTTTACTCTGATATGACGATAAGATATGGACCGAACCATAGACATGCAAATCAATACTGCATGTTTGTCATTGCAAAGTTGAAAGTGCTGCTTCAATCGCATTACCTCCCCTTTCCATCCCTTTCAGTGATGCATGCTGTGCAAGGGTTGGCTTAGTCAGGTGGTTCCACAGGCCGTATAGGGGAAGTGTACCTCCAAACCAAACAACAAGGCCCATGTCTCTCGAGGCGTCCTCTATGGGGGAGGTGATTCGGCTTCTGGCCGATGCCAATCCGTTCCTGACCAAGAAGATCGAGGCAAGAGACTTGTGGGAGTTTGCCTCAGAATCTGGCCGGCTTGCCCTGCAGGTTTGGGGGGGAAGTTCAGGGGGGAGTTTAGCATGGCTCTCACCCCTTGAAAACAAGGGGATTCTGAGCCCAATGGAGGAGACTTTGAGGGTTCTGAATTCAACAGATTCTTCAGACTTTGGGATATTTTACAGTGCGATGTTGCCAGGAGGTTTGCAGGGCTCGGTTCCGGTTTCAGGGCCACTTTCGTGATGCCACAGGAATTCGAGAAGGGTAGTCATTCCCGCAGAGAAAGGAGGATTTTCCAATTCTACTGCCTCTATGGGTATTTCTCATTGTTGGCCTGCTCTAAAATGGTGCAGTACCAACCAAAAAGGGGCTCCACCATTTTGAGAAACTCCCCCACGTAGAAGCCAAGGACCCCTTTGTTGGCTCATTTAAAGCAAGGGCTCCATTTGAAGGTCTTTGGACGTGGGTGTGTCGTTGTTGGTTGGGGTTGTAAGGGCATTCAAATGCAAACCACATTGTCAGGGTTCCAGAAATTAGAAGGCAGACATCTTCCCAAGCCCTGGCTGTTTTGAAGCAAAAGGGACCCCCCCGGGCCACAGTTCCGCGGTCCGATAGAAAGATTCGCGTCTGATCTCATTTGGCGCCAGGTGGTGAACAGACCGGTGGAGACGATCACCAGCGAAGTTGAGGGGAAGGCCGAGAGTTGCGGGAAGCAGTCCACTTCTCCGAAACCCGCAGAAAATTGGTGAGCAAAGGAGAGCCTGAGGCCCAACTTTTTGCTTTTGGGATGTTTTTAGATTTTTGTGTTTGGGATGTTGGTTGTTTTTCTTCAGGCGGGTTTTTTGGCGTTTGTGTTCCGGCCGTTGGCTTTTGGCTTCTTGGAGCACCGTGTTTGTTATTCGCGCACGTTCTCCAAGAGAGTCCTCATTTGCTTTCTGATGGTGCGGAGAGGCTGATGCCCCCCCTCCAAAGCTTCTCCCCCCCCCCGGAAAGCCCCCGCTTTGTAGGGCCGTTGTTCGGCTTTGGGATCTTGGTTTGTAAGCGCGCACTTTCTCCTTCATTGTCTTTTTGTTTGTGTTTTATTGGGGGACCTTGTGCTGTTGCCTACCCGAAACCGGCCCGGCTGCTGTTGGAGAGAGACAAGCGGGCGATGCTGGAGATGTGGATGGTGCTAGTGTGAAATGCGTGCAAGAGTAAAAACACAAAAAACCCAAACAGAAACAAAGCAACATCCAGAGTAAGTCTTGACCCTAACAATAGCTTGATGGTTTGCAATGTCCTGGTGGGTATGCATGCATGGTTAATGCAATGCAATATAATATATCAGAGTGCTGTAATTAAAGCACATCTTCCTCCGGGGGTAGTGGTTGGGGGGTGGGCCGGGGGGGGGAATGACAAGAGTTCTTTGAGAATCAGCAATCTGCCCAGGTGGACGTGATTGTCTCCGAGCCCATTGGAACTTTCCTCTTCAATGAGAGGACCTGATGTGAGTGGCCAAAGTCCCCAAGTGCCAGAGGTTGAAGACAGGTGTGGGACTTTCAACTTTTGCCCCAAGCTCGCAACCATTTGGCTGTGGGTCAAAAACACGTACCCATTTTGGGAACCCTGGCAAATGGACACATGGCTAAAACCTGCAGTCCCCTGGTAGTTCAATTTTGACCCGCACCCATGTTCTACATTCAGCAGGTCCCCATACCGGCCCATGTAGCGCACGTGCCAGGATGATCGAGAGCTACCTCTGTGCTCGCGATCGCTTCCTGAAGCCTGGGGGGAAGATGTACCCAAACGCCGGCACCCTTTGCGGCGCCGCCAGGTTTGAGGCTCTTCTGCCTCAGTATCTCATCGCATCCCCCATCACCGGGTTTTGATGGTGTTGGAAGGGGAAATGAAAGCAGGAGCCGATCAAATTTAGAGGGGCCCCTATGTTTTATGACTCTATGACGCGTGTTAAAACTGGGGACTACAAACCTCTTTGGTGTTGAAGGTTTGAAGGTTTGAAGGAAGCCAACAAGGAACCTATGAATTGTTTCCTGAGCTTCGGGACAGCCCATGGACCTGTTCCCCTCATGTTCCTGCCAGGCATAGCGCCGTTCTCCGACTCCATGCTGCATTGGGAGCAGCAGAACAAGAGCCTTTGCTATCGGCACCATTTTAGTTTGCTGATCCGAGGGGAGACTTTTTGGTTGATCTCCATTTGTGGCAGAATTGGGGGGGGGGGTGGTGCCCACACTGGGGAAATACAGAAGCAGCATCGTCGGCGGTGCCATGGTCATTTGACCCTTCGTTTGGGTTTTAGCGTTCTGGAATCAATGGCTCACAGGGATGGTGTTAGTGACGTCAATCCATTGAGCCGGGATGAGCGGGGTCAGAGGCAACTTTCCACCAAGGGGCTTCATTGACGGAATGAAGAATTCTTGAGTTCGACCCTGGCACAGGGTGTAAGAGCAGCGGAAAAAGAACAAAGGTACCCTCACCTGGGGTTCGGTCAACATTTCCAGTTGCCTATGATTCATTTCGGAAGGAGCCGGGCAAAGCTCAGACATTTGATAAAATCCAGAGGACACGAACATTTTCCCATGCCCTCTTGCGGCTTGGCCTTGGTATTTTTAAAGACGGCGCTGACACAGGAACGGCTTTTGGAAGAACACCAACTTCTACGGGATTGACCTCACCGCGGCCGTTCAGAGATGCACGAAGCCCTGCCCTTAAAGTGTGACTCCAATTAGCGCGAGGATGTTCAGATAAGGGTTTGCCTCTTCTTTTTGTTTTTTTGCTTTTTGGGGGACGCCCCAAAATTGTAGTTTTCCTTTGGTTTTCCTTCGAGACCGCGAATCAAGGCACCCTCAAAAAGACACACCTCTATGAGTATGTTTCGAACTTGGGGACGCCTCCATGGTCCCCCCCCCCCCTCCCAAAAAGATATGGCGTGTGATAGTTTTGTTGAGGGAAACACGATGTTGTAAACACGATGTTGTTTCCTGTAGCTTCCCGTTGAAGAGTACCCCGAAGCGGGAATCTTGTCTGAACTGGTTGAGCCATGCCAAGACCAGTTCTATTTCAACAAGCTCCCTGCTTCAAACGGCTCCAGCAGCATGTGTGTGTGTGTGTGTGTGTCAACAACCTCGTTTCCCGGACGAATCAGCGCAAGGCTGGTCAGGCCTCCAATAACAACTGCTTGAGTTTCAATAGTTGTTTGTGGCTTCCCTCTGCCAGGGACAAGTTGTCGGTCGGCAATTGACAGACCTGAGGGGAAGTCGCCTCTGATGTAAGAACAGATCGGGTCGGGGCATTGTTTTGAATACCTGGAGCTGTTTCTGCCCTTGAGATCTGATTAGTATTGGTTCCCAAAAAGTTGAGATGACCCAATGGCTGGCCAATTGTTGGCACATCGATTTTGGGCAAAACGATGTCACTTTATGTCTAAGTGACTGCAAAAGCAATTTGCTATTAAGTATCACTCATGTGTACTTAGTGCAATTGTGCAATGATAGAAGTGACCTTCTAGGGTCCTTTGGGGGGGGGTTGCAGGGGAAAGGGGGGAGGCTGGCAAATTTGAGGTTTGGAGTGCAAGTTTGAGGTTGGGAGGGGTTCTTGAGGAGTGTGTCACGGCGTGGGGGGGGGGGGCAATTGCCGGCACATGTATGTTGAAACGGTCATTTTTTGGGATATGAGCGTGTCACCAGCGTGTCCCCCCCCCCCCGCCCTCGCGCGTTGCATGTGCAATGATCACAACCCCTCAACTGGATCCTGCATGGTATCCTGAAGTGACGTTTCAACAACAGTGACCTTTCACTGCACGTTGATGATGGCAAAACATCTATGTAACCACAAAACCCTTTTTGAGCAAGTGCTGAGTGGCGATCCGGAGATCGCCCCGCCTGGCGGGATTCGGGATTCGAATCCCAAAGCGGGATTCGCGAATCCCAATCCCAATTTCGGGATTCGGGATTCGAATCCCAAAACGGGATTCGCGAATCCCAATCCCAGTTTCGGGATTCGGGATTCGGGATTCGGGATTCGAATCCCAAAACGGGATTCGCGAATCCCAATCCCAATTTCGGGATTCGGGATTCGAATCCCAAAACGGGATTCGCGAATCCCAATCCCAGTTTCGGGATTCGGGATTCGGGATTCGGGATTCGATTCCCAAAACGGGATTCGCGAACCCCAATCATCCCAGTTTCGGGATTCGGGGTTCGGGATTCGAATCCCAAAACGGGATTCGCGAATCCCAATCCCAATTGCGGGATTCGGGATTCGAATCCCAAAACGGGATTCGCGAATCCGAATCCCAGTTTCGGGATTCGGGATTCGGGATTCGAAGAACGCCGGGCTCCGCCAAACAGAGGCGGGGGGGGTTGGGGGGGGGGGGGGGCGCAGCCCCGCCAAACAGAGGCGGGGGGGTTGGGCGGAACGCAGCCCGCCAATTGGCTGTCCGAGGGCCGAGGGCTCGGAATGGGAATTCGGGATTCGGGATTCGGGATTCGGGGTTCGGGATTCGGGATTCGGGATTCGGGATTGGATGCCCGGGTCCTCAAGGGCCCGGAATTGGGATTCGGGACTTCGGGATTCGGGATTCGGGATTCCTCAACGGCCCGGAGTTGGGATTCGGGATTCGGGATTCGGGATTCGGGATTCGGAATTGGGTGCCTGGGTCCTCAGCGGCCCGGAGTTGAGATTCGGGATTCGAGATTCGGGATTCGGGATTCGGGATTCGGGATTCGGGATTGGGTGCCTGGGTCCTCAATGGCCCGGAGTTGGGATTCGGGATTCGGGATTCGGGATTGGCTGTCCGAGAGCCGAGGGCTCGGAATGGGAATTCGGGATTCGGGATTCGGGATTCGGGATTCGGGATTCGGGATTCGGGATTCGGGATTGGGTGCCTGTGTCCTCAACGGCCCGGGGTTGGGATTCGGGATTCGGGATTCGGGATTCGGGATTCGGGATTCGGGATTCGGGATTGGGTGCCTGGGTCCTCAGCGGCCCGGAGTTGAGATTCGGGATTCGAGATTCGGGATTCGGGATTCGGGATTCGGGATTGGGTGCCTGGGTCCTCAACGGCCCGGAGTTGGGATTCGGGATTCGGGATTCGGGATTCGGGATTCGGGATTCGGGATTCGGGATTCGGGATTCGGGATTGGCTGTCCGAGAGCCGAGGGCTCGGAATGGGAATTCTGGATTCGGGATTCGGGATTCGGGATTCGGGACTCGGGATTGGGTGCCTGGGTCCTCAACGGCCCGGAATTGGGATTCGGGATTCGGGAATACGGGATTCGGGATTCGGGATTCGGGATTCGGGATTCGGTGCCTGGGTCCTCAACGGCCCGGAGTTGGGATTCGGGATTCGGGATTCGGGATTCGGGATTCGGGATTCGGGATTCGGGATTCGGTGCCTGGGTCCTCAGCGGCCCGGAGTTGGGACTCGGGATTCGGGATTCGGGATTCGGGATTCGGGTCCCCAATCACATTCTCCGGGAGCTTCTCCGGATCACGTCAATTGCCGGCACTTCACAAGGGACGCCAATTACCGGCCATCGGGGGGGGGGGGGGGGGGGGGGCTGGAAAGGAACTTTATTACTTCCTGAGGCACCCAACGTGCCTTTTTTTTTAGGTACGAGAAAATAACGCTCGAATTACCGATTTCTGCTCGACCCCCCAAAAAACGCTCGCCCCCCGAAAAACGCTCGATCACATCCCCTTCTTCCATCCAGAGGAAGGCGGGATTGTTACGTTTTTTAAATTTGCACTCGTTTGCGGATATTTGCGCTCGTTTTGTGGATATTTGCGCTCGTTTTGCACTTTGATTTTTGCTCGCTCCTTTTGAATATTCAGCGACCGAGCATCTTGGAGGACCGACCAGCCCGGTTTTGGGAAAAACGCTCGAAGCAGGAAAAAGTGTACGTTTACCATATTTTGGTGACGACCCCTGGTTTTGCAATACGTTTGGGCTAAGGACAGACATTTATGTAACGAAGGGTGCTCCAGGTTGGGTTCCCTCTTCCTCCTCTTTAAACATCAGCTGGGCCAGTGTCAAGCGAGTTGACGACTTTTTGGTGGAGTGATGGATCGAAATCTAGGGACCTAATGGAGGAATTCGGACGAATTCGAGGAGTGATGGGGGGAAACCTAGGGACCTCATGGACGAATTGGGACAAATTCGATGACGAATTCGATGACGAATTCGATGACGAACTCGAGGGAGCACTTCAAGCAGCCCATCGTGGACTACATCAACCCAGATTGTTTGGTCGCCCCCAGCGTCGACACCAGGCAAGCCGATCGACGACGAAAGTCGACGCGATCGAAGCAGCTGCGGCTCTGGCTTTCGGGTCCCATGTTTTTCGGGGTTTTGGTGAAGGTTAAAGAGGCAGTCACAGGCTATCACAGGCTTCATACGGTTCGGGTTTCCGCCTTTTTGAGTCTTTACATGACTTTGGGTAGATCCCTGAAGTTCCAAGTTGTGGTTGTGATTCAATCGGAACATCTCAATTAGATGGGCGGTGTTCCTTTGGTGTTCTTTCAGAGCGGCACAAATTGTACCTCAAAAACGGATCCCCCCAATATTTGTCATTTGTTTTACCTTTCCTCTTGGAAAGGCCCAGTGAGTTTGGGGGAAGCACATAATTCAATCCATACCCACTGACGATTCGAGCCCAATCGGGGTGCTCGCTCCGGATCGGATCCCCACCCGAATCATTCGGCTGTATTTCATGCGGCTGTGTGTCTCATTGAACTTGCCATGGTGAGTGTCCTTATCGGTGTCCTTCTCAAATTCGGTCTCCTTAAACCTTGGTTTCCCTGGAAGCCGTCAGACCAAAAAAGACGAAAGGGCGTGTTTGCTTGTTTGCTTCGCCACGTGTCAGGTTCGACTTCACGAAGATTACGGTCGAGTCGCTGCACTCGCTCTTTGGCTATCGATCTGAAGCGGCAACGAGGGCCCAGGGCCGGAGACCAGTCGAGAAGTCGGGTTTTGGTGTGACAAGCGAGGCCCACTTTGCTACACACAGCCATGGCTTGGTGTGTGAAAACTAGCTGGAATCAACGGATTCTTCCAACAACTGCCCAAAGGAAATCCACGTTTGGCCCAATAATTGCCACTTGATGCAACAGAAGCTCCTTTTGTGGTTTTTGCAGTCGTTGAATCATGTGTAGCTTGCAAGTCGCGCGCCAACCGCAACATGTGTGGACCCCAAGCTGGTGAACCTCGCCCCGTCCTGACTGGCGGTTCCCAAGCCCAGGATCAGTCGGTCTCAGAAGCTGCCCACGTTTTCAGCCATGGTCTGACAACGAGGGACACCACCCCCACATCGGGATGCCGTCGGGCCTCAGGATTGAGATCCCTTTCGACTTCGAGATCGCCCAGCCCTGCCTCGCGAAGGCCTTAGGATCTTAACTTCCAAAGTTGGCTGAGTTGGCTGATCTAAGTTCACAGTCCATACCATGCCATACCTGACTCCCTGGACATGCGGAAGTGCCGAGGTCCACGGCATCGCGGGCTGGTTTGATGCCCACTTCGAGGCGCGAAGCGAGATGAGTTTGCTCCCGAGCGAGCCGCAGAAAAGGCCCAAATCACCATGGGTCAGCGTGTCAATTCCTGCTGGCCCGTCGTGTGTTCTTCACCTCGTCCTTTCCATCTCTGTTTGTTCTTCTCCTTGTGTTTGTCTTCTTGTCTGGGTTTTCTTGTTTTTTTTTGGGGGGGTCTTTCTTTCTTTTTTTCTTGGTTTCTTTCTTTCTGTATTTCTTTCTGTTTTTTTCAGTCTTTATTTCTTTGTTTTTTTCTTTATTTCTGTCTTTCTTTATTGCTTTCTTTTTTTCTTTCTTTCTTTTTTTCTTTCTTTCTATATTATTTATTTGTTTCTTTTCTTTCTTTCTTTCTTTCTTTATTCTTTATTTCTTTCTTTCTTTCTTTCTTTATTGCTTTCTTTCTTTCTTCTTTCTTTCTTTGTTTCTTTCTTTATTTATTATTTCTTTGTTTCTTTATTCTTTCTTTATGTATTTCTTTCTTTCTTTCTTTCTTTCATTCTTTCTTTCTTTCTTTCTTTCTTTCTTTCTTTCTTTATTCTTTCTTTCTTTCTTCTTTCTTTCATTCTTCTTTCTTTCATTCTTTCTTTCTTTCTTTCTTTCTTTCTTTTCTGGTTTCTTGGCGTGCCAGTTGTGGTCATGAGCCCTCTGAAAGGTGGCGTTTGAAAGACTGGAGAACATTGTGCCATGCTGGATGCATTTGGTGAACCCCACAGCAAAGTGGACTCTTTTTCTTTGTTCTATGAGGACTTGAATAATTAGTATGGGGTTGGCTACTGTTAAACCGAATTGCCTCTTGATCATGGGACAATGTGTATTTGTGATTCTTAGCCTGATGTTGACTCAGGAACCCAGGCTTGGTCGGAAACGGCAAGCGCCCAACCTGACTCTCACTTGCTGGAAGGTTCCATGGCCAACTAGGGCCCAACGGGCTTCAGCTTTCATTTCTCGAGCCAAGCTGTCATGGGTGCTGAGGCCGCGGCAGTTTCAATTGGGGCATTTCGCATGTGAGAGGGTTTCCACCGCAAACCCTCAGGGATGGGGACAGAATCTGGTCAACAAAACCAGGGGTTTGGCCAGAACAACCAGGGGGTTTGGCCAGAACAACCAGGGGTGTGGCCAGAAAAAGGCCGGGGGCTGGCAAAACCAAAACACGGTGACTGGTACCCCAGGTCGGTTTGGATCGGGTTGTCTTGTATTGTTTCTCGCAGGGCACGAATCAGACGGTGACGCTCTCCACTGCGCCGCGGTGTCCAGGGACTCATTGGTGCGCCTTCTGATGGGATGGGGTTGGGGAGGGTGACTCAGACTGCCCATGGCCCCGTGGTGTTGGGGGGAGGGGTTTGAGGGTCAATTGTTGGGAGGTAGGAAAAGGAGTCACTTGTGAGTGTTGTCATTTAGTTAAGTTTTTCTTTCAACATGTCCACAAACCCCCGTCCAACGGTTGCCGTCACAAGCTGGTGGTCTGAAGCTCCCGCTTGTCTCAAAACAGGATATGGAACCCCCACGGCTGATTTGGTTTCCGTTCAAGAAAAACAAGCGTTTTTTTGGGGTGCAAAAAGACAGACCCTGCTTTTTGAGGGTGTCACTCAGGAGTTGCCAGCAAACCAAGAGGAAAACCCAGAATCATCCAAAACTCATTTCGTTCCCCTCTCTTGGGGTTGGCTTAAAAGCACACCAAACGGAAAATCGCGATTTTGGGGTCCCCCTAGTTTGACACACACCGATTTGGCGGAGAAGTTGGTTGCCTGCGGAAGTTGCAGGTCGCCTTGTGCTGGTTGCATATCATGCAAGCAACTAGCCCACCTGGCCCATGCCAGCAGCAAGCTGTGAAGGGTAGGTTGACACAGCAGGAAGCTGTTTGTAGTCCAAAAAGGAGTGTGTGTGTGTGTGTGCTGCTGGCTGGGGGTTTGAATAGGCACCTGTTTTTTGTTCGCGAGGGGGGGTGGGGTGGGGGGTTGGGTGTTTGGGAATGGGGGCCCCTACAGTAAAATGTTCAATCTTGAAACAGCCTACCCACGAAGCTAGGAGTTTTAATTGGCACAAAAAGGTGATGTTTCAATCCAACAGCGGAACATAGCGGGATCCCTGCTTTGGGGAAAAAGAGTAGAGTGCAAGGTAGATATACACTCCCGGCAAAAACGGGACCTTGCCAGAAGTCAAGAACCCCTTCCAAGTGTTTCTTTTTGGGCGGCCTTCTGGGCGTATTTGTCGAAGGATGCGAGGGTGAGTCCAAGAATAGGCGACCCCCAAAATTGCCTGAGCATGGTTTCCAATTGTTCCTTCTTGCTTTAAGCATCCACAAGGAGGTCCCGCGACTTAGGACCAGGGAAAGGAGCAGAAACCCATCTAGAAGTGGCGGAGCTGCTTTTTTTCTTCCCCCCGTATTTCCTTTTTGCAAGCAGGTACCAGATCCGGTTCCTTCTGGAGGTTCCTTTGGCGGTGAACGCCGGGCAGCACGTGGAAGGTACTTTGAAGATGGAGGCCATGCCGCGCCTACACTTTGGTCTTTGCGGTTGCTATACGTTGACATGACCAATCAGTATGTTAAAGCAACAAGGTCAAGACTATTTTGTGGAAACAAGTGTGCGTTGTTCGCTCCTGTTTGACTGGGTGTTTGAGTGCTCATGTCCGCTGCCCTTGGTTGGCTCAGTTAGAACTCGAAGGGCGTGCCAGGCAATGTGCCCTGAGATGGTTGCACAAATGCCTGTGTGCGATCGGAACGATTGTCTTTGCGGGACGTTCGGCCCCTCTGCGGACTGATGCTGGTGGCCCAAATCCTTGCTGAATCGCTGGATGTGATCTTCGCCACGCATGCGATGGACAGTGCAATCGCCGCACGTAAGCCTACAAGCGCCAAGCTAGCCGTTTGTGATGTGGGGCTTTGACCATTCCTGGGACAATTCCCGTTTCTCTTTCATAAGAAACCATGATTTTTATGACTGCCTTGGTACCGCCTTCGTACATCGCAGAACTTTGTTTGTGACTGCCTGTGTAGCACCTCTTTCGGTATCCCTCCATTGCACAGCCTTTACAGTGCGCCAGAGCAGCACCTGCTCATCGCACCAGCCTTGTGCACATTTGCCTCGGCGCTGAGTGTGTTCGCCGAGTAGGCCTAGTTTCGCACATCACATTTCATTTTGCCTTGTCCTTCCACGAATTGTTTGAGCTTGCTGAGTTTGTGAACCTTCCATAGATGCCAGCGCTGTCTAGGTAGAACACTGGTGGATCACACAAAGGATGCGCTCGCGCGAAGGTGTCCATTTTGCATTCGCCAGGCTAACAACCTGCAATCCTACTACATGCGGATTGACGCCAGAATAAAGGGGCCTGAGCCCAAGCTGGTTGAGACGGGCTTGAGTGTCTAGAAGTTATTATGAGCACAGTCAACATGGACTTGAAAGCCCTCGTACTCACTTGAAAGCCCAGCTTTTGGACCTTTTGGTTTCCCCCCTTTGGTCCATTCTTAGTGGCCCCAAAAGGTCAAGCTCCTCAAACCCTGCGTTCCGCCGGTGCGGCATATTGCCGATGCACCTAGCGAGTCACGCCCAGGACGAACATCTCAGCTTCGGCGCCCTGCATCGATCTGAAGGATCAAAGTTCTTGGCATCGACAGCAAAAATACAAAAGGGACCATAAGAATCGATCAAAGTCGATGTATGAACCAAGGGCTGGAGATAGATAGATACTTGAAATCCAGGCACAACATATGAGTCGAGACATCATTGCCCGTAATGCTAGAGTAAATACGTGTTCGACGTGTAGACTAGATGATGGCACAACAAGTGACGGGACCAAACCATGTCAGCAGGTATTAGGTTAGACACATACATTGATTGATCAACATATGTATATATATATATACAAGGCCTCATATATACACACTATTAATAAGAGTACCGCAGTTATGAACAAACCTTCTTCCAAAAGAACAGCGGCCCATGGAACCGGCCGGAGGGAACTGGGTACCAGGGTTGGGCCAAGTACCTTATTTCTGTCTAAGCTGGTAGTACTTGACCCCTTTGGCTTGGCCAAAACCTTGATACTTTTGACGCGCAAACACACTAGCCTTGAATGAGCTAATGTTATTATTTTTGTGGGGGGATACTCTTTCGTAGGCAGGTTTGGAGGGAAATTGAAAGGACGCCAATCCTTTTTGGTGGGGGTCCCCTAGTTTGACACACACACACACACATCACACACACACACACACATCACACACACACAAACACCAATATACGTCGATTTGGGAACATGATGTCTTTATCACGTGGATCACTTGCTTGGGCCCAGTTAAAAAAGCCAACCATGATCAACACCCCAATGGGCCAGCGTTTGGCAATATGGGTGTTTTTACTTCAAGGTACCCCTTGTTTGTGTTTCAAGGGGACGCCCTATTAATGTTCCCGTTTTTGCTTCCGGTCTTATTGCATGATGATAGACTAGGCGTAAATTCTAGATGCGAGGTTGCGCATCGACCAGGTCGGTATTTGCGTTAAAAGGAGAACCTGGTTGTTCCAAGCACTTCGGCCATAGCCAGCCATGTGGCACTCTGCATGCGGGGAGTGAATAATGGATGAAGTAATGATAAGCTATGGTTGAATCCCTGAATGTTGCAAGTCGGGAACAGAGACGCCTTCATGATCAAACATACTTTCTGGTTGCCTCATTTTCACTATAGGCACTTTCCTGTGCAAGGGAACCCCTGTATATCAAGGGGCATTCTACAGGCAAGTGGAGTGTGATCTCGATCTCAACGGTTGCATGAGCTTCTGCTGGATGGGAAAGGAGTCTCCCTGGCCAGCGCGCTGTTCTTTGATTCCAAGGGAGCGTTTTTTTACTCCCTGAGTTGCAGTTCGGATCCACTCAGGTGAGTTGGAGTGTTTGTACTCCTTCAAATCCAGCCTTGCATGAACTGTTTAATTCCTGAACGTGACACTTTGAATTTCTAGAGCCTTGGAAGAGTTGGAAGTAGCTGGGATGATTTGCAACTCCTTTGGTATCAGTCGGATTGGCCTTCGGCTTCATGCGCAGGACCCGGAATACCGATTCTACACTTCCTCGAACTCCTACTGCCCGCGAGAGCCTCAGACATCGCAGACCAGTTTCCCAGTTCGATGACAGCGGGTGTTGCTATTGTATGGGTTTGTTTCTACATCGGATATGGCATTTCTGCGGGTGAGTTCCTTTGAGTTCGCTCTGAGCCAATCCCAAAAAAGGGAATGCTCAAACAAGAACACAGCCATGGTTGTCCAATCCTTTGCAACCTGACGAGAAGAAACTTGAACAGAAACATGACTTGTCATTTGAGATTCACGGTTACACTCTTTGCTTGTTCAATCTATCAGTTCTGGGCAAATTAAGTCGAACCCTCACAAAGGGTTTCAGACCTCGGGCCCGGTTATGAAGGTTCGTCAAGAAGCTAAGAAATACCAACTGATCAGGATGCGCAACTGTGCCCAGCTTTGGTTTTTCCTACTGGGTTGCTTTGAGCAGCAGCGAGAGCAACACGAGAGGAACCCAGGCACTTATGTGGGTTTTCTTTTCGGGAACCCCCCCCCCCCCAGCCCCAGTGCCCCCACTGCCTCGCAGCTGCTTTGCGCTGTCGGAGATGGAGGGCCCCAAGCTACAAAGGCTCCGCGGCTAAGCTTCGAGTGCACCAAAGGTGCCGCAGTTCAACTTCTCAAGCAGGCGCTGTTTTTTTGTTTTAAACCCCAACCGGTTTTTCTGACCTCAAAGCCAAGATGTTTTTTTTGATCAGAGACCAGCTTCTCCCCAAGGCGCCCCACCCCACGCTAGTGGCTCAAAGCCTCGAGGCCCGGCACCAACCAGCGGGCCTGCCCTGGTTGGCCCCTCGATATGGAGGGCGGTGGCAGGTTTCAGACCACAGGGTACCCTGGGGTACCTCGGACACCTCTCGTTAGTCACCTTTGGGTTTCGGAGTAAAGGGGCAACCGCCGCCCCCTTTGGGGTTCCCCAATTTGAAGACAATGCGAATTTTCCATTAAACCGAATAGCCAAGAACGGGTACCCTCAACAAAAGGACACTCGGCTCCTTTCGGCCAGGGCAGTACCACCTTCGCAGCTGCAGCAGTACCAGCAGGCGGGGGTTAGATGGGAATTCAGGGGCAATTTGCCCCCCTTTTTCTACTTTTTCACTAGGGGGGCGGTCCCTCAAAGATCGACTACCAAACATGGCTTGGAGTAGTGCCGATGGCTGTCGACTTTTCAACCCTTGTTGCATGTTGGGCAGAGGCTATTTGACAATCCGCGACTGAAACATCCGCGTGCGCATCGCGCTTGGTTCCTTCCTGTCCATTAGATCCTTCGTACCATGAGAGATGGGGTGACCCTTTTTTCCCACTGGAGGCCTAGCCCTGGATTGAGAAGAACAAAAAACCATCCCTGGTGGGTGTTCCTTCAGCGGCAATGCACGTCAATTTGGCCGACCATGGTGGTCAGAGGGCTTCCCCTTCCCCGCACAACGATTTGGATCCCGTGCCTTAGGCCGAAGGGATTTGCTGATCCGAAGTGGACATGGTTTTGGCACATAAGGGTGATGGGCGGTCGGTGAGAGTTGGGCTTGCAGTGCTGTTTGTTCATGTTTGTTCCTGAAATCCGCGATTGAGGGCAGATATGGGCAGATTAAGCCCGTACCAGTTCCTTCATGTCAATGTGTTATTGCCACAAACTGTTGTTGTTGATGAATGGTGTGGTGTAGCGTAATTTCGCTTGGGTGGAGTCCTCCAAACAATAATATGTAGGTGAAATGCTCCATTGTATTACTTCTGGGAAGCACATGGCTGACAGTTCCCTGGGCAATCTCAATCATCTCAGGGCTGAGATTGACACATTATGTCTTTTCGGGTACTTTTTTGGGGCGCTTTAATCGCAGACCAAAGGAACACAGGCCCATTTAGGAGGTTCTCATGTGCGACACTCTCGGATGTTGAGCTTCAAGCATGCTGCAAAAGCATCATTTTGGCCCTTCGAAGGACGGGCTTACGGTTGTGATGTGTCCATGTTCCTGTCACGGCATCACTTTTTGTGACAAGGGGCGTCCCTGTAAATGGACCTGACAAGAAAACTTCCCGTTCCGATCTGATACTCAAAACATAGAACCAACGTGTCTCGTTATCTTCTTATCTCAGCCTTCGTGCGCTGGCGGCGAGGCACACTTTGCGCAGTCTCAGAACATCCTTCCGGGCCAGGCCGGTTGATGCCGACAGCTCTCGGCGCCCTCTTTGGCCAGGGGTCTAGTGGTTGGAGTTGAACTCGAGGATGACGTACAACCTGGTTCCATATAACATAGATTTGTTGTTTTTGGGGGGAACCCCTCCAAAATTGTGGTTTTCTTTTTGGTTCCCCCCGCCCGCTCCCCCCCCAAAAAACAAAGTATGGCAAGAAAAAGACAGTGCCTCCACATAGAAGAACCCCGGATGAAGTAGTTGATTGTTTCATTGACTCGGGCTAGTTGTTTGGGTTCATTGACTCGCCCTCAGGTTGTTCCATTCTGGTACACCATTGATGCGCAGTTAGATCTTCTGCTCGACTTCCGAGTGGGTAAATCTCCAGCGTGTCCAAAGGTATCCGCCATGCGCGCGTGTTTGGTGGCGCGAAACAAGTCCTTCCCTGCACCCTACTTTCTCTCCGTGAAAGCGAAGGCATGTGGAGTTCTCGACGTTTGAGGGTTTAGTTTGGATATGAAGCAAAGGGCCAAGTTCTGTGAGCGAAAGCCCATTGAAGGTGATCAAGTGGAAGTTCCCCTCGTTCTGTGAAAGTCTCAGGGATGGCCCAAGTCCCACCTATATGACCCCCCTCCAAAAACCACGGCCCACTCGTGCCCACACACAGCCCGTATCCAAGTTGTTGAGTAGGTTTCCTTCCCAGAACCCCAAACCCTGCCTCTTCAGCACTGCTTTGGGCATGCAAGGCACATGGTAAATGACAAGATTCACCACGGCCGTAAGGACAGGGATTACAAGAGCATGCTAAATTACATGGTAATTACAGGTTAGGCGTTCACCGGTTGCGGACGGGATTTGTTTGGATTATCAGGCGGTGGCCGCGCTGGGCTCTCGGAGAACAGAAACCCGGGCAGCGCATGGGCGTCTCTCACAAAAGAAGCTCAAACGGGAATCCACCTAAAATCCCAAAAAGTTTGAGAGCTCTTCAGAATGCAAGCTAGGACCTCAATGTTGGGGCTGGCTAAGTAAGGGTTAGCCCGGGTGAGATTTGGCTTGATGACCAAAATCACATGGCCAGGTCTAAATTTGGCTAAACTTCCCGTTGTCTGCTGAGTTTATAATGGTTGCGGCTGGCGAGCCATATGTGTGTATAATTCGTGGGCGCTTTGTCTCGGGCCCATTGCTGCCCCCGCTTTCTTGCAAGTGACGTAGTTGGGAGACGAGGGGTGCATTCCAAAGGTCATCTCGCAGCCGAGATGCCGCCAGTGACAACCGGCACGGACAGACAGCTACGTGCCAAGACTAAGGAAACTGGTTGCTGACAAAGTGGGTTCCTCTTGAACTGGAGCAAAAGGCGGGCAGTTTATGATGTGTATACCCGAGGAAGCAAGCTCTCAGATTTTCAATACGTGTTCTGCTTGTCGACAAAAGAAAGCGGCTCACGCAGGGTCAGCTGCAGCCGTCCCTTCACGTGAGGGACGAATCCAAATGGCCGTTGTCCACAATTACTTGCTTCCCCAATATGACATGGGAAAACTAGTGATTCCCCTTTTTGCTGTTGTTGGGACATTCAGAGCTTGCGCAAGTCTTTTTGGCGAAAGGATGGAAAGCCAGCTTATGCAATGCAGCTTTGGGTTGAGAATGGCCTGACTACACTTCGCATGAATTAGAGTTGCTGCAACACCTTGCTTGAACCGAAGAGCCTCCCTTTCCGACTGAAAAAGGCACAAGGCCAAGCTCAAAGGCGGAAGATATGTTGTGGGGGTTGATTTTGGATATGAAGTTTGGTCAACAAATATGTGTTCTTCTTTGGCCGTAACCCTGTGTGACCCTCTGAGAGCGCCCTGTGTCAACATAGAACCCTCCCCCCGACAAATTGTGGTTTTCTCAGGATTTTCTTGCGCTTTCCGTTTGCTTGGTTTTAGCTCAACCCCAACAAGGCATTAGTACCCTCAAACAAAGCTGGTTCTCCAAGAAAAGAACTTGCTCTGCTCGCTCTCGACTCCAAGGACCGTGTGGACGCCTGAGGCGCGTTTTCGGCAAGTCTTGGGGTCAGTTTTGTGTGAGGCCTTGGCAGGCTGTTTTTGTTTGTTTGTTTGTTTGGTTGTATTTCTTTTCTTTTTTTTTAAATATATATATATATATATATTGTTTTGGAGGGGGATACGGTTATTCTTTATGGGGTGCGTGCCTTTCTCAGCTTAACACATGCAATGATGTGTGTATTTATACATACACACGGTGGGTGGAATAAATGTTGCATGACTTTTGAAACATACCTATACCCTCTTGTTGCCGCTGGGTCATGCAAGATTTCGGTGATTGGGAAGCTACGAGCGCTTTTGCCCGTCGCAGCTCAATGTTAAGTAGGGGGCGTGGGGTGGCAAACATGTAGTCTTGTAAACTCATGCAAGATTTCTTCTATCAACAGTATCATGCATTTTTTACGCGCACACATAGATACGTGTGGATACATGTAATGCTTATTTGAAGCGATTTACCTCCGCATGTAGGTGTGCATATATATATATAGGCAAATATGGCGTACATTGCAATGTAGCCACATTTGGGGTACATTGGCAATGTAGCAAAAAACAACAACATTCGTCGGATCCCTGTCGGATTGTCGAAATATAGCCAAAAAAATGATACATTCGCCGAATCCCCGTCGAATGTCGAAATATGGCCTGGCAAATGATGAGATTTGACGAAGCTCGTGTCCGATAGTCAAATTTCAACCCGAATGTGGCGCGGTTTATTGAGCATATTTGTTTTGCATGGGTCCAATGATCATGCTTGCTAATTTGCTCTATTTGCTAAAGGACTGTTGTGTAGCAACTTCGCTTTCATTAGTTTGCAGCGTTGGTGCACTCTTGTGAGAAAGCCGCTCTAAGTATTGAGTACGCAAAGCGTTCAACCGTGCAACGCAAAGCCACCCTCGAGCTCTATTGCCCATGTAAGCGTGCTTTGATCTCGCATTATACGTAATTGAAATGATAAGCTTACAAATTCAACATGCTCTGCGCCAAAGGCACGGACTTGCCGACCTTGAGCCGCATTGGAAAGCACAGCCATCTATCAACTGCCAGGGATTCATTTTAAAACAGTACAGCCTACACGCGATTGCAAGTATGGACATGTTTCTGGCTGTGCCGAATGATTGAGATGAGGAGCGCCAAGCCAAATTGGCCTGCCGAGCCGACTCCCAACTGCCACCCAGCAACTGTTGGCCATTCACGTGTGCTCAATCTACGCAGCAAGATGTCCAAGCATACCAAAAGAAACTCCAAATTTATCGTACCAAAAAGCGTTTTCCGCTAAGCAAAACATAGACATACACATGTTACGCAGGTGCAAATTTATGTATATACACATGTACAAGACTTTATGTACACATGCAGTCCAAGATGATGAATATCTAAGCTCAGAACATAAAGCAGTGTTGTTATTTGTAGGTTTCGGTCAATGACTGCATTGCGATTGGGCAGACCTCGCATTTTGCCGATTGAGCGTGGGATATATGATGCTGCACGCGCAATCTGTATGTCAACTATTAGCTTGGCAATGCTGATTGCTATGTAAACTCGGATAAGGAGCCACCAAGCTTAGCATGCATGTGTTCAGCGCTGTTCAGTTTTCATTGGCATGCTGGAGACTCGGCATCCGGATTGTCTACAGCTCTGGGATCGCATCAGCCATGCAAAAAGCTCAGTCTTGCCTATTCAAAGCTTGGTCTACTAAAGGCCCAGCAGGTGCCTATTGTTGCTACCCAAAAGCAGTTCAGCAAAGGTCCGTTTATTCCCCCTGGCTGACCAAAGTATGTCCCTACCATGTTCTTCACACCTGCATGCCCCAAATTAGCAAGCGGTTTGGAGTAAATGACCCGACAAATTTCGTTGTTTTTGCGTGACTTCTTCTCGGATTGTGTTGTCCAAAAAAACCATATGGGGCTTGGACTGCGTCATATCCGTTCTCCTCAAGACCGCCGCTTGAGCCCTGCCCAGCACATCTCGTTTGACAAAGCTGTTTTTGTTAAGTTTGTGAATTTTGCATTGCGGCATGGGGCATGGCAGGATTAGAGCCTTAATTTCTATCTGACCAGTGAAAATTCGCGTGGCAAGCAGTTGACGCTCGAATGGTGCTTGGGAACTGCTAGCAGGCTAGCATGCTTTCAAAGTGAGCCTCCTGGAAACAAATGAAACACCTGCTTTGAACAACAAGGGCTTTTAAAATGGGCTGCGCTCTGGACGGGGTTGCGGCATGGTGCTAAGCAAGTATTTGGTTGGAGATGTGATTGTTGGAAATTAGACCCCTTGCCTTCGGTCGACGGCTTATGGCCCGCGAACAAGCTTGTCATGATGATCCATCGCCCCTGCGTGGGCACGCATCAAACATAATAGAAACTTAGCCCGCAAAGCCAGAGGTTGCAGCTTGCAAGCAATCAGGAAGCAACACATTTAAGCTACGCACGGGCAAGTTGACGAAATTGTGTAACTGTGGACAACAACTCTGCTTTACCTTTTTGGTTGGGGGGGGTATCAACCCCCATCCGCGTTTGGATAGGTTTTGTTGAGAGTGACTGCTGGCAGGATCTCCTGCTGCGAGGTGTTTTGCAAGGAGTTGTTGTCCTCCATGCGCAATAATTATGTTTGTTGAGTGATCTTTGCTAACCAGCGTTGCCTTAGTGCTTCACGGTGTGGCCTGAAAAGTTTGAACTATCGCACATGTGCTTCGTCGCCACACTGTTTCGTCAAGCCAGCCAGCCCGTCAAAATGGTTAACGTTACAATCGGAAGTCCTCAGCAGGATCTGCTACACCATGCTAGTCGATTCCTTCTGTCGCATGCCAGGCAAAAGCAACATTTACCGACAATGATAGCCGGGGTTGGCTCGAATCATTATGTGCCCTGCTTGTGCCATGTAGTTGTTGCCGGTCATTCGCAGTTTAAGTTTTGTCCGTACATCAATTTGCGTCGGATAGAGTCGCCAAAGTTGAGGCGAGCTTGTTGTCGGAAGGCTTGTCGGAACCCTTGTCGGAAGTTGTCGGTTTGAATGTCCCCAAAACTTGGCTACATTCGGGTTTATCGGTCAATGTAGTTCAAAAACGCGGGCGTCGGCCAATGCAGGCGATATATGCATACATTGGATTGTCAGGGATATATATGTATACACGTTCACGCGCGTGCGTGTGTGTGTGCGCGTGTGTGGTGGGCGTGTAGGGGCACTGAGTGAATTTGAGCTGGGGGAAGGAGTGTTGTTCGTTCAGAGGCCTCACAGTGGGCGCAGCCGATGCAGCCTGGCCCTGTGTGGCCCGGCGCGGGTTCCGACGGGGGAGGGTCACACCATGTGAGCGATTGACTTTATGTGGCCGAGTAAAAGCCGGGATATACTGCCGCTCACATTTTGGGGCCAATTCAGTGACTGTTAGGGGCCATTGGCAACCATGATCACACCTCCAGCCTCTGAATTTCTCAGTCTTCTATAAAGGGGTGCGTTTTGTGGGTGCCAGTGTGTTTGGGCAGTCCGCAAAGGGGAATTTGAGGGGGTTTAATGGCAGGTTTTTCTCGGAACGGCCAAAATGAGACGCCAACATGAGACGTGGGCAAATCAAGGTTAATAGGGGTCAGTCCCAACCATAAGCACGCTCAGCGGGTCTTTTGATTCGATGAATGGGTTTGGGTGGATCTTTTAGACACCAGGCTGTGATTCGGCAAGAGATATTTGGCAACATGTAGTTGTGAGGTGAGGCCCGTCAACAGCAGAGCATTCGTCACACGTGGTTTCGGAGATGGCTTCGTCTCTGGGCTAAGGAGTCAGCCCGGCACCAACGGTTTTGCACACGGGTGATCGCGATGTGCCACCTGAAGGCTACGGCATGTTTGTAGTGGGGAGGAGACTGACCCAGTTGCGACGTGTTGTTCACGAGGGCCCCTCAGATCTCCAAGTTCTCAGTCCTCTTTCCGGCCATTTGCTGAGGATTGGTCCAAACATGCCATGATTTGAGAGGGGCCCAAGAACTTATGGCCTCCTGCATGTTCTGCCTGTATTCTGCCCGTGGTCTGGCGCCTTGCTTCTTACAAGACGCGAGACAACGGCAGAGACGCGCAGAGAGGAGAGCCAGAAAAAAGTTGCTTGCGGAGTGCCCAGGAGGAATATTTTTCAATGCAGATTTGCTACTTCCACCTTGTCGCCACATTTGGGTATGCGTCAAAATTAAACCACCAGGGGACCACAGGTTTTAGTCTATGTTTCCATTGACCAAGATGCAATTTTGGGTAACTATTTTTGACCCACAGCCATTTGAATCCCCGGTTGTGCCAATCGGCCACGCTGTAGTTGCCAAGTCTACTCTAGATCTGGCCATTTGGAATTTGTCAGCGAGGCCCAAAGAGCTTCGAGATGGGGTGTTTGGTTTGCCAAGTTGCTAGTCGTCTGCTCTTTGGACAGCTCATTCGGGTGGACCGAGTTGATTTTGGAAGGGCCGGTGTTTTAGTCAAGTCAATTCAACTTCCCATCCAAACTGCCAACGTTGACCTGCAAATTCGAATCCTTCATGCTCTCGCTGCCATGTTGGCTCATGTGCATCTTTGCCCATCCAGCTTTTGGCAGGAACCCCAGAGTCCCATAGTGCCACAGGCGGCCGAAAAAGAGCAGTTTGAGTGAAACTAAATGGCACTTACGTTTACTTAATGGGCTTCATGGGTTCAGTTTGGTTCACACCAATTCCCAGTGAGATCCATTTGTTTGTCCAAAAGGACATCTAGGATTTCGGCTAGGCCGGCAGCAGCCACTTTTGGTTATCCAATACTGAGTCAGCGGAATCTATCTTTTCTCCGGAAAAGCCGGCTAGACCGAATCGCCTTCGTTTGCCTTCCTTGCACCGTCTGAGGCACCCGTCCGTGCCAGAGCCCCAGCACCAGCACTTTTGTCTCAATAGCCGCCGATTTTAGGGGGAAAGTGATGACCGCTCACCTAGAGGGTTCCAACTGCAGGCATTCAAATTTCTGTGCACCCCGCCTTTTCCGGTGAGCGTTGCATCCTTCAACGCGGAAGCTTCGCGAGGCCGAATTCCCTGCTTTCACATACTCTCGCGAGCGGCTTCCCGAACCTCGTGCGAGGACAGTGGGCCACATTGAGTGAAGCCATACTGGGGCCATTTTGGCCTTGAAACAAAGGAGTTTGCACAAAGCCGCTTCTTCCGGCTCGGGGATGACGGTTTATGTGGACCTTTCTTCTTATGGCCTTTGACTTCCAGGCCAAACATGCGGAACCCTAGCAATTTTGCTCGGGTCCTGTCGGTTTCCATTTTCCATTTTGAACACCCACGGGATGTTTCTCATTGTGCAGCCGGCCGATGTCAACCTCTTCTTGGCAGGAGCGGAATCAGGAATATCTTCCTTAATCCTTAGGCCGGTACCTCAGGCAAATTCCTGAGGCTCGTGCAAGTCGCGACCATGTCAACAGTGACATTCATGGCTTGAACAGGCTCGAGGGCAGTGTGCATTTGCTGTTCCAGAGAGACTCGCAGCCAGGGCTGAATTCGTCACTTTTTGAGGCTTGCTTGAGGGTCCGCAGTTTTAGGTTTGTTTCAAGAACCATCCAACGAAGACTCCCTAGATACCCCTCCATATATATTCACCTCAGTCAATCTTCACCGGCATTGAAGATAAAAGCACTGTGGCCGTGCTGGACGGCGGGTGCGCGCACCAGTACCAGTTGACACGTGCATCCTGTGGCTTCATTGCTGCACCCAAATTGGTGCTGTTCAACTGGTTTGCGCATTCCTCTCAGAAGGAATGGTTTGGCCTCAGATACGTATGTTTTCGAAAGGGGACCCCTTGTTGACCAAGCTTGAGTCACCGTTGCCATCTTGAATATGTGGACACCTTTCCATGTAGGTTTCTTTGCACCACGGACTCATACGAGGGGTTGCACTCTTTCTTTGGGACCTAATACAGATACGCATTCGAAAGTTATGGCCCCTTGTTTTAGGTTTCTAAAACAAGCACATCCAGTCTGTTTGGAATGGGGAAAGGAGTTGTTGTTGTTGTTGTTTGACCAGCTGTGCTTTAGCTATGTTTAACAGGATGGATCGGTTTCCTGGGAATGAGCCCCAAACATTTGTCCAAAAGCGTCCAGGGCTCCCCTGCTTGATAATTACTGCACTGTGAGTGCCTCAAGAAGGAGTAACATCAACAAAGATGCGCATGGAACATTCTAAAGGCAATCATCATATACATATTTGCACACTGAGATGTCAGTGTTTTCTGCGCATAATGACGAATGGGCGGCTTTGAGAGGTCGAGATGAAACTCTTCAAGTCCAGCACCCCTGAGCAGCAGCTGGCCTCCCTGAGGCGCTGCCCGAAGGGAGCACACGGCCCATTCGAGCTCAGGGAGCTACATCCGCCATCAAAACGGGTCGACAAAATAAACCTGATGCCAAAGGGAACACGACCATTTAAGTCAGAGGGTGGATATCCGCATAGTCAGAGTTGGCAAAGTCCCTAAGCTTGGCCTATCCAGGTTTTGATGACTCATGGTAGGGGGTGTCTTGCTGCCAGGGGACCCTAAAAAGGTTCCGATCGCTTGCAACAAGGGACACTGCGTGTAGACTGTGTGTAGCTCCGAAAGGAACTCATTTGTTCGCACCCTTGCAGCGGGTCAATGCAAAAGAGACTGCAAGGCAACCGTAGCCACATGTTGGGAGTGCCCACCTTTTTGGGGCTGGTTGAAAAAGCCAAAGGGACGGCCAACAGTGACACACGGCGTCACCCACTTGGGTTCACCCACATGGGGTCAAACTCCGCCGTGCCTGGCAGGTCTCAGAAGTGTGAGGTCAAGTGCGAGGCGGAGCACATCCAGCCGCTGCCGGGCAATGCGCGGGTGGATCCCTGCCGAGTGCAAGGGCCTGCTGAGACCCAGAAGGCCAGGGGTGCCGCGGCTGGTGCTGGTGGTGCTGTCGGAATGGTTCTGGTTGTTGCGGTGGCTGTTGTGGTGGCTGTGTTTCAGGAACATGTTCGGACTTGCGGACGTGTTCCTGCGCTAGGTTGCCCAGAAGATCATCGAGGGCAAGACCCCCACACCCACAGAGGTGGTGAATTACTTCAACAATGAGCTGAAGAAGCGGATTTGCTTCCTGGACGGAGGCATGGGCACGCGCATCCAGGCAGAGCAGCTGGAAGAGGCGGACTACCGCGGTGACCGCTTCAAGGACTTTGCCGAGAAGGATGCCAACGGCATTCCCGTGTCCCTGAAGGGCAACAACGACCTTCTGATTTTCTCCAAGCCAGACATGATTAAGGACATCCACAAGGAGTACTTTATGGCTGGCTCCGACATTTGCGAGACCAACACCTTCAACGGCACGACCGTGTCACAAGGCGAGTACAAGATGCAGGCAGTTGTGCACGAGATGAACAAGACGGGAGCTGAGTTGGCAAAGAAGGCGGCAGCAGAGGTGACAAAGCAGGAGCCTCACAAGCCCCGCTTTGTTGCAGGCGCCGTCGGACCAACCAGCCGCACCTTGTCCGTGTCGCCTAGTGTGGAAGATCCGTCCTTCCGGAATGTCACCTGGGACGAGTTGGTAACCACGCACCTTGGCGGTTTCCAGCTATATCATAGACTGTTGTTTAAACGTTAACCGTTGAAAGGGATGTAGAAATAAATAGTTCTCAGGCTTCAGAAATGGATCAACACACCAAGGTACAAGGAGCAGGTGAGCGGCCTGGTGGACGGCGGTGTGGACTTGCTCATGATTGAGACCGTTTTTGACACCCAGAATTGCAAGGCCATGGTTGCGACAATGTTTGGCTTTTTATCAGTGATATCCAGGGAATCCCTTTTAAAGTGATAAAGTATCCATGGGCACGGCTTCTTAAGAAGGGCAGAGAGGCTTACTTTTCAACATGTGCAAGGCTGCCATCTACGCTGTGGATGAATACTTCCGGGAGACCAAGAAGGAGAAGCTGCCGGTGATGCTGAGCGCCACCATTGTGGACAACAGTGGCCGAACGCTTTCCGGGCAGACCATCGAGGCATTCTACGTTAGCGTCAAGCACGCCAATCCCTTCACCGTCGGCATCAACTGCGCCTTGGGAGCTGCGCAGATGAAGGGCTTCTACAAGAAGCTTGCCGACATGAACTCCGGCTGGTGCCATGTCTACCCCAATGCCGGCCTGCCAAACGCCATGGGAGGCTACGATGAGGATCCCGAGATCTTCTCGACGAACATCTTGGACTATGCCAAGGACGGCATCCTAAATTTCGTGGGCGGCTGCTGCGGCACTTTCCCCTCCCACATCGCCGCTGTGTGCAAGAAGGTTCAGGACTGCCCGGTGCGAAAGCTTCCCGAGCTGCCCAAGTATCCCTCCATGATGCTGTCCGGATTGGAGCCCTGCCACGTGACGGAGGAGGCTGGCTTCCAGTGGGTGGGCGAGCGATGCAACCTCATGGGCTCTGCTAAGTTCAAGAAGTTGGTTGACGCTTACAAGTGGGACGAGGCCTTGGAAGTATGCGTCGCCCAGTGCGAGAAGAAGTCCGACATTCTGGACTTCAACTTTGACTCTGACCTCATCGACGGCCAGTCAGCCATGGGCAAGTTCATGAAGCTGTGCGTGACGGAGCCTACAATTGCCAAGCTGCCGTTCATGATCGACTCCTCCAAGTGGCCTGTGGTGGAGGAAGGCCTGAAGTGCGTGCAGGGCAAGTGCATTGTGAACTCTATCTCCCTGAAGCCTGGTGAGGAGGAGTTCTTGAAACATGCTGATGCATGCATGCGCTACGGAGCTGCAGTGGTGATCATGGCATTCGACGAGAAGGGCCAGGCTGCCACGTTTGAGGACAAGATCAGGATCTGCCAGCGCAGCTACAAGCTGTTGCGCGAGAAGCTTGATTTCCCGCCAGAGGACATCATCTTTGATTGCAACGTGCTGACGATCGCTACAGGCCTGCCGGAGCACAACAGCTATGGCATTGACTTCATCAACGCTGTCGCTGAGATCAAGCGCACCTGCCCCTGCGTGTCCTTCTCCGGCGGCTTGAGCAACCTGTCCTTCTCCTTCCGAGGGCTGAACTCCTTGCGCGATGCCATGCACAGCGTCTTCCTGCACCACGCCGTGCCCAAGGGCCTGAACATGTCCATCGTCAACCCGGGCGGACTCCCGCGCTATGAGGACATCGATCCCAAGACCCGCAAGCTGACCGAGGAGGTCATCCTCAACAAGTCGGAGGAAGGGGTTTGATGCAACCCCTTGGTTTGATCACGTTTAAGCCAATCTTCGAACAACCTTTCTTGGGCTTCCCTTAAGGGGCACCAGGGTCTTCATGTTTCATGGGCCCTAAATGGGTTCAATCATGCCTGTGTGTAGCATCCTAGTTGGAACTCATTTTGAAGACCAATGGAACCATTTTGGGGTAGGTGCACCACCCATTTTAGTCTAATTATTTTAGTGGGGATTGGGATGTTCACTGGGGGTACGGTATTTTGACCCATGGCCATTTGTTAGCACCTTTTCTTAGGCCCAAGTTTCGTTTCAGCAAGTGTTAACAGGACGGCAACCACGTGGAGCGGTTCCTGGACTATGCGGAGCAGGTGAAGAACCCCCCTGCCGCCGCACCGGCGGCTCCAACTCTGAAGATTCAGAAGTCCACGCCGGAGCAGCAGGTGGAGTTCCTGCGCTCCTTGAAGGAGAGCTTTCATGGTTTTAAGGGGAATCGATTTCACTACTGGACATATTCCCATTTTTTCCAGGGGACTTGAGCAAAAGGAGGAGGGTTGGAGTCCTGGGAGCCCCGGAATCAACCCATCCTAGCACCGTATAGCGGGGTGCCCCTTCAAAAGTGATGAGCCCCAATGAAAGGAGGGGACCCCAAATCCTTCCCTTCTGTTCGGAGATCCTTTTCTTCAAAACACCAGCCAGCCCTGAGAAAATGGGGGGTTTCTGGAGGGTGGTCGGTGGTTGTTGTTTATTTGCAGTAGGCCAGGAAGCCAGGAACCCTCTACTTTGTAAATTACCATGGCTTTGTGGTTGAGCATGCCTGGTTTACTTGCAATATTAGGCCGCCCAGCGTAGGTGTCCTTCTGGTCAGTTTTATTTGATTATGGATGGAAGGAGGCAGGTTTCAGACCTCCAAAGGTTTCCCTTAAAGTCAACCACCAAGAAAAGGGTGCCCTTTTGTCCGCATGGCCATTGGAGGTTGGTTGTTCGTTGTTATGCGTCCTTTCTGATGAGCTTTCGTTTCAAATAGATGGATTCCGCTGGTTTCATTTGGCTCCAAGCCATTTGCCATATCTATTCTATCAAAAGGACACCGAATGTTTATTTTAAACTAAACCATTTGTAACTGGGACCCCCAACAAGTGCAGGAACCCTTTCCAAGCTTAGCTGAAGGGCAAGCCTTTGAGGAGACCAGCATTTGCATCCAGTTGAAGATAGAGTCGACCTTGACCCCTAAAAGGAGGGTCAATGGATTTGTGCTTTTTGAGGGCACCCTTTTCGGGCTGGCTAACATTTGACACCAAAAGGAAGACCATCATTTTGGTGGTCCCCCTTTGACACGTACCCAGCTGGGACTTGCGGGTAAAGCGACCCCCTCGCCCCGCAAAATCGGCCAGGAGGAGGTTTCCTGCGAGGCAGAGCACATCCAGCCACTGCCGGGTTGCGCCCGGCTGGACCCCTGCCGTGTGGAAGGCCCCGCGGACACCAAGAAGGCGAGAGACGCTGAGCATGGAACGCAGCTGTTGGAGGAACCTTTTTGTTGATGCCCCTTTTGGGGTCGGAACCCGGCCTCTCCTCGGGGTTGGGTGGGTGGACGGGTGGGTATTTGGCAATAAACAGAGATTCTGCTCAGGCAACAAACTGGGTCAATGAAGAATGAGAAGGGGGCGGGGAATAGAGGCTCATTTTGTGTAATTAATTAACACCCTGTTCATCACACGAGGTATGGTTTTGGTTGGGAAGCTAGCCTCAAATATATGCTGGTTGTTGCCATCCCTCTAGGTTGCCCAGAAGATCATCGAGGGCAAGACCCCCACACCCACAGAGGTGGTGAATTACTTCAACAGTGAGCTGAAGAAGCGCATTTGCTTCCTGGACGGAGGCATGGGCACGCGCATCCAGGCAGAGCAGCTGGAAGAGGCGGACTACCGCGGTGACCGCTTCAAGGACTTTGCCGAGAAGGATGCCAACGGCATTCCCGTGTCCCTGAAGGGCAACAACGACCTTCTGATTTTCTCCAAGCCAGACATGATTAAGGACATCCACAAGGAGTACTTTCTGGCTGGCTCCGACATTTGCGAGACCAACACCTTCAACGGCACAACCGTGTCACAAGGCGAGTACAAGATGCAGGCAGTTGTGCACGAGATGAACAAGAAGGGAGCTGAGTTGGCAAAGAAGGCGGCAGCAGAGGTGACAAAGCAGGAGCCTCACAAGCCCCGCTTTGTTGCAGGCGCCGTCGGACCAACCAGCCGCACATTGTCCGTGTCGCCCAGTGTGGAGGATCCGTCCTTCCGGAATGTCACCTGGGACGAGTTGGTGACCACGTACCTTGGCGATTTCCAGTTATACTCATAGACTTTAGTTTAGACTTTCATCGTTTAAAGGGATGTATGGCATCACTTGAAACAGTTCAAGTTTTAGCAATGATTCAACGCACCAAGGTACAAGGAGCAGGTGAGCGGCCTGGTGGACGGCGGTGTGGACTTGCTCATGATTGAGACTGTCTTTGACACCCAGAATTGCAAGGCTGCCATCTACGCGGTAGATGAATACTTCCGGGAGACCAAGAAGGAGAAGCTGCCAGTGATGCTGAGCGCCACCATTGTGGACAACAGTGGCCGAACGCTTTCCGGGCAGACCATCGAGGCATTCTACATCAGCGTAAAGCACGCCAACCCCTTTACCGTCGGCATCAACTGCGCCCTGGGAGCTGCGCAGATGAAGGGCTTCTACAACAAGCTGGCTGAGATGAACTCCGGCTGGTGCCACGTCTACCCCAATGCCGGCCTGCCAAACGCCATGGGAGGCTACGATGAGGATCCCGAGATCTTTTCAACAAACATCTTGGACTACGCCAAGGACGGAATCCTAAATTTCGTGGGCGGCTGCTGCGGCACTTTCCCCTCCCACATCGCGGCTGTGTGCAAGAAGGTTAAGGACTGCCCGGTGCGAAAGCTTCCCGAGCTGCCCAAGTACCCCACCATGGTGCTGTCCGGTCTGGAGCCGCGGGAGGTTAACAAGGACACTGGATTCCAGTGGGTGGGCGAGCGATGCAACCTCATGGGCTCTGCTAAGTTCAAGAAGTTGGTTGACGCTTACAAGTGGGACGAGGCCTTGGAGGTATGCGTCGCCCAGTGCGAGAAGAAGTCCGACATTCTGGACTTCAACTTTGACTCTGACCTCATCGACGGCCAGTCAGCCATGAGCAAGTTCATGAAGCTGTGTGTAACGGAGCCTACAATTGCCAGGCTTCCGTTCATGATTGACTCTTCCAAGTGGCCTGTGGTGGAGGAAGGCTTGAAGTGCGTGCAGGGCAAGTGCATTGTGAACTCTATCTCCCTGAAGCCTGGTGAGGAGGAGTTCTTGAAACATGCTGATGCATGCATGCGCTACGGAGCTGCAGTGGTGATCATGGCATTCGACGAGAAGGGCCAGGCTGCCACGTTTGAGGACAAGATCAGGATCTGCCAGCGCAGCTACAAGCTGTTGCGCCAGAAGCTTGATTTCCCTCCTGAGGACATCATCTTTGATTGCAACGTGCTGACGATCGCTACAGGCCTGCCGGAGCATAACGGCTACGCCATTGACTTCATCAACGCAGTTGCTGAGATCAAGCGCACCTGCCCTTGCGTGTCGTTCTCGGGCGGCTTGAGCAACCTGTCCTTCTCCTTCCGAGGGCTGAACTCCTTGCGCGATGCCATGCACAGCATTTTCCTCTACTATGCCGTTCCGAAGGGCCTGAACATGTCCATCGTCAACCCGGGCGCGTTGCCACGCTACTCGGACATCGACGCCCACACCCGCAAGCTGGCTGAGGAGGTCATCCTGAACAAGTCGGCCGATGGAAACCATGTGGAGCGGTTCCTGGAGTTTGCGGAGCAGGTCAGACGAGCTGTTTTGTTCTGCCAATAGGGTGTTGTAACCCGTCTAACCAATCAAAAGACACCTTTCCCCATTTTATATTATGGGCTGCAACAAATCCAACCTGGAGGTGAAGAACCCCCCGGCTGCTGCACCGGCTGGTCCCAGACTGAAGATTGAGAAGTCCACGCCGGAGCAGCAGGTGCGCGCCCAAAGCCGATTTCTATTGTCCACTAAAGCTGGTTCTAGTACCTGGTTTATGGGGGGTTATGGCATGGCCATTATAACTGCAATTAGCAGGAACCCAACCTCCGTTTGGTTTCCCTTTGAAAGTCAGTTTTGTTTGGACCTCCTTTGTGTTTCCCTCATCCAGTCTGGTTCGCCACTGAGGTGGAGTTCCTGCGGTCCTTGAAGGAGACGGTGTCCTGCGAGGCGGAGCACATCTTGCCGAAGAAGGGCTGTGCGCGGGTGGACCCCTGCCGCGTGCAAGGACCTGCGGAGACCCAGAAGGTCGCACAGAAGATCATCGAGGGCAAGACCCCCACGCCCACGGAGGTGTGGCTAAACGTTTTCGTTCTTTCTTCCGTGTTTTTTTTGTTGGGGGGGGGGGTTGTTTTTGCTTGTTAAGGGAAAGAAGTGAAGCCAAAACGAAACTGTAATTTGTGGAGTCCCCTTAAGCCGACAGATCTCCTTGTATAAGGACCCAGAAAACAGCAGATTGGTGTGGCGGTTTATACAATTTGGAAGCTTGGGAACCCTAGTTTTCAGCCACAGGTGGTGAATTACTTCAACAATGAGCTGAAGAAGCGCATTTGCTTCCTGGACGGAGGCATGGGCACGCGCATCCAGGCAGAGCAGCTGGAAGAGGCGGACTACCGCGGTGACCGCTTCAAGGACTTTGCCGAGAAGGATGCCAACGGCATTCCCGTGTCCCTGAAGGGCAACAACGACCTTCTGATTTTCTCCAAGCCAGACATGATTAAGGACATCCACAAGGAGTACTTTATGGCTGGCTCCGACATTTGCGAGACCAACACCTTCAACGGCACAACCGTGTCACAAGGCGAGTACAAGATGCAGGCAGTTGTGCACGAGATGAACAAGAAGGGAGCTGAGTTGGCAAAGAAGGCGGCAGCAGAGGTGACAAAGCAGGAGCCTCACAAGCCCCGCTTTGTTGCAGGCGCCGTCGGACCAACCAGCCGCACATTGTCCGTGTCGCCCAGTGTGGAGGATCCGTCCTTCCGGAATGTGACCTGGGACGAGTTGGTGACCACGTACCTTGGCGATTTCCAGCTATACTCATAGACTTTAGTTTAGACTTTCATCGTTTAAAGGGATGTATGGCATCACTTGAAACAGTTCAAGTTTTAGCAATGATTCAACGCACCAAGGTACAAGGAGCAGGTGAGCGGCCTGGTGGACGGCGGTGTGGACTTGCTCATGATTGAGACTGTCTTTGACACCCAGAATTGCAAGGCTGCCATCTACGCGGTAGATGAATACTTCCGGGAGACCAAGAAGGAGAAGCTGCCAGTGATGCTGAGCGCCACCATTGTGGACAACAGTGGCCGAACGCTTTCCGGGCAGACCATCGAGGCATTCTACATCAGCGTAAAGCACGCCAACCCCTTTACCGTCGGCATCAACTGCGCCCTGGGAGCTGCGCAGATGAAGGGCTTCTACAACAAGCTGGCTGAGATGAACTCCGGCTGGTGCCACGTCTACCCCAATGCCGGCCTGCCAAACGCCATGGGAGGCTACGATGAGGATCCCGAGATCTTCTCAGCGAACATCTTGGACTACGCCAAGGACGGCATCCTAAATTTCGTGGGCGGCTGCTGCGGCACTTTCCCCTCCCACATCGCGGCTGTGTGCAAGAAGGTTAAGGACTGCCCGGTGCGAAAGCTTCCCGAGCTGCCCAAGTACCCCACCATGGTGCTGTCCGGTCTGGAGCCGCGGGAGGTTAACAAGGACACTGGATTCCAGTGGGTGGGCGAGCGATGCAACCTCATGGGCTCTGCTAAGTTCAAGAAGTTGGTTGACGCTTACAAGTGGGACGAGGCCTTGGAGGTATGCGTCGCCCAGTGCGAGAAGAAGTCCGACATTCTGGACTTCAACTTTGACTCTGACCTCATCGACGGCCAGTCAGCCATGAGCAAGTTCATGAAGCTGTGTGTAACGGAGCCTACAATTGCCAGGCTTCCGTTCATGATTGACTCTTCCAAGTGGCCTGTGGTGGAGGAAGGCTTGAAGTGCGTGCAGGGCAAGTGCATTGTGAACTCTATCTCCCTGAAGCCTGGTGAGGAGGAGTTCTTGAAACATGCTGATGCATGCATGCGCTATGGTGCTGCAGTGGTGATTATGGCATTCGACGAGAAGGGCCAGGCTGCCACGTTTGAGGACAAGATCAGGATCTGCCAGCGCAGCTACCGGGTGCTGCGGGAAAACTTGGATTTCCCTCCTGAGGATATCATCTTTGATTGCAACGTGCTGACGATCGCTACAGGCCTGCCGGAGCACAACGGCTATGCCATTGACTTCATCAACGCAGTTGCTGAGATCAAGCGCACCTGCCCTTGCGTGTCGTTCTCGGGCGGCTTGAGCAACCTGTCCTTCTCCTTCCGAGGGCTGAACTCCTTGCGCGATGCCATGCACAGCATCTTCCTCTATCATGCCGTTCCGAAGGGCCTGAACATGTCCATCGTCAACCCGGGCGCGTTGCCGCGCTATGAGGACATCGACGCCCACACCCGCAAGCTGACCGAGGAGGTCATCCTCAACAAATCGGCGGATGGCAAGCACGTGGTGAGCTGAGCGTGGAACATGTCCTCATCCTTGCTGGCTATTGAGATTTCTGCATTCTTGGATTAGATGGTTGGCGTTGTGTTGTTGGTTTGCATGTTGGCATATTGCTTCGAGTGAGTCCTATCGCAACACCTCCCCCATTGCACATTTTAGTCGGGGCCTCTACTTGGTGTCATAAGGATTATAGCAAGGCCTCAAAAAACCCCTTCAAGCATGTTGGCAGGAGAATAGGCTTTGGATGATGCTTATGTTCCGCCTTGTTTGGTTCTGAGCCCATGATGGGTGATTGTCACGCCAAGGTTGAGCGCTTCTTGGAGTATGCGGAGGCGTGGTTACACGGGCGTCAGACCCATTGAGCTTTCTCCAAATAATGATTCCTCTTTTGGACGAGTTTTCACCAGACATGAGAATGAGCGACCCATTTAGCGAGAGAGAGAGAGAGAGGCTAAACTCTCTGGTGCAGTCTCTCTGCACCAGAGATATGTTTTCGATATTGAACCCCCGAAAGACAAGTGTCAGAAGCCTTCCGGAATGATATTGTGAAAGCCCCAAACAAACGCTAGCTTCCCGTTCGAACTCGCCCAAAGTCGTCTTAGGTTAGTTGCCGCTCGCTCATGTGCTACAGATCACCCAAGCTTTGGGCCTGTCGATTCACTGTTGGCCCCTCCGGTGGCCACCTTGGGAGCGAAAAGGCTGCATGCAAAATCCCCAAATCTGGCTGGGGCTCGGTGGGGAAGGGAATAACCCCTTTTCGCCCATCCAACTGGTGATTTCCTTTAAGGGGACCAAAGCCTGGGTTCCTTCAACCACCTCACCGGTTCGCAAGGAAGCCGCCGCCAGGAGGTGAAGAAGCCCGCGGCCACGGGCCCGGCCGCCGGCCCGGCAGCTTCCAAGGAGCCGACGGGACGGGACCAGAGGGCGGTGGGATGGCGCTGCGCTGCGATCCCCAAAACGCGGAGTCCCACTGGCCGTAGGTACTTGCTTTCCAGGGGGGCAACGGGGCAACCATTGGAGCCCACTTTGGTGCCAAGAGTTGGGGTGTGGGGCACTCACCGAATTGAGGGCCTGGAAGTAGAGCCACTTGGTTGTGGAAGATTGAGTTTTTGGGACTGTTTTTGTGGTGAGAGAGTCCCCTTTAGTGTGGTGAGGTAGTCGCGGGGATCAATCACTTTGGTATTGATGGGAATCCAGGCATATGGGTCCTCCGGTTGATGGAAAGCGGCGCCGTGGTTGTCTTTTGGAGGGGGATCCATGATTTGCGTCTTTGGGGGAAACACCGCCTCAATTTAAATGTATGCGCCTGCTAAGCAAAATGCCGGGATCCACCTTCGGCACGATCCTGTGCGGAAGTAGATGCAGGTCACCCATGCGGATTCCATCATCCCCTCTGCCCAAGGGAACTGTGCCCATCAACTTTCCATGAACTAAAGGTCCCTGATTTCGTTGAGTTGATGAGGTTGGGTGACCATTCTTATTGGAGTTTTGGTGGAACGGCGAATCTGGTTGTTTGACTTTGAATTCGTTTTGGAGCCCATGCCACGTGGTAAAATGAAGGTCAACACGTACCGTATGGACACAATCCACTTCACACCGGTAGGATGAAACCCTGGTATATAAATAAGACACCTAACTCGTGCAGGATTTTTTGTCCATTCATGGTATTTCCCAACCAAAGTTGTGGGGATCCCAAAAAACGGTAGTCTTCTCTTTAGTTCAGGATGATTTGCCCTGGCATGAATCAGGCATCCAGCTGGTGCAGGCGGAAAGAAATAAAAAACAACAAAAAACGCGCTCATCTCCTGGCGCTCCGCCTTTCATATTTTTTGTTTCGGCTCGAGGATGCCTGGCGTGAGGGCACCTACGTGGAGCGCCTCCATCACGGGTGCGGTACTGGACGTTTGGTTTGGCAAGGAACGGAGTGGGTTCAACTGGCTGTGGGTCAAAACCAATGGTATCATTTTGGTTGGTAGGTGAATTCACCACCCATTTTAGAACCTATTTTAGTGGGGATTGGTTGATGTTCACTGGGGGTACGGGGGTTTGACCCATGGCCAACTGGGGATGTTAAGAATATTTAGGCATATCATACAACCAGTGCCGAAGGCGGTTGGCGGAATGTCTCAAACGAATAAGAACTGTAGTTGGGCTTTGTGTTTGATCTTCCTCTCTTTCTCTTACACTTTATCTTTCTCTCTTTGTCTCTTTCTCTTCCTATCTCCTTCTCTGGCTCCTTCTCTTCCTCCTCATCTTCCTCTTTCTCTTTCTGTTTATCTTATCTGTCTCTTTCACTTCATCTTTCTCTTTCTCTGTCATCTTATCTTTCCTTTCCTTTTCTCCTTCTTCTTCTCTTTCGCTTTCTCTTCTGTTTCCTCTTCTCTTGCGCTCTCTCTCTCTCTCTACCTTTCTCTTTTCCAGCAATACGTCTAGCTAGCGCAATCGATCTATTTATCTATCTTGCAATGTAATGTATCTATCTAATATATATATATATATGTCTATTTAGCTATCTATCTATCTATCTATCTATGTATCTATCTATCTATCTATCTATCTATTTATCTATCTATCTATCTATCTATCTATCTATCTATCTATCTATCTATCTATCTATCTATCTATCTATCTATCTATCTATCTATCTATCTAATCTATTTGTCTATCTATCTATCCACCTATCTGTCTAGCTAATCTAATCTATCTTCCGAAAGCGCTGCGCCTGCCAGGAAATCCGTACCTGACCTTGCGAAAGTGCTGCGCCTGCCACGAACTTGGCACTTCACGTTGCGGCAGTTGCGCCTGCCACTGCGCCAGTTTGCACGTCCGTGCCAACGGGACTTGCAACACGCCGGCAAAATGCTGCGCCTGTCACGCAATCTGCACCTGAGTCTGCAAAAGCGCGGCGCCTGCACGAAATCTAATCTCCAATCCAACAGGCTGCGCCTGCCACGCAATCTGTACCTCTTGCCGAACTGCTGCGCCGCAAAACTGAAAGCACGAAAAGTGCGCGCAGCCGTGCCAATGGCCGTGTCCGCTCCCTTTCTGCCCGTTCCACGACCGACGCCAAATCCCGCAGAGGGCCACTCTTTTTCGCGATCTCTATTCCCCCGCCAAACGCCCATGCATGTTTTCTCGCATATGTTGATTTTTTCTTCATCTTCTCTTAGCGCACAACTACCTTCAGTGTGTCCACAACACGAAAGCTTCTTCTAAACTTGCTTTGATATTGTATTTATATAAATGTCTACACTTAAGACCTTGTTTGCATGGGTTTCGGACAAACCCATATATATATATATATATATACACATATAAATGCAGATCATGTGTTTGTATATATATATATAGGATTGTCTCGTTTCAGGGAAGGCGTTTGGGGCCTGGCTTTTGGGCGACCAGGAAGCAAAGTGATGGGGGTGGGCTCGGGATGTGGGAGTTTGGTGCTGCGGATGCAGAGCCTTTGGGCCCCGTGGCTTGGGCACGATTTCTCCAGTCTCAAGCGGGTAACACGTTGGCGAATGGCCAGGATTGCAACGAGCACAAGTGTTTTTTTTGTACTTCACCGCTGTTGCCACGTTTTAGTTTTTTTTCTCCTTTTTTTTTGGCTTCGGGGTTTGTTCATTTTGAGTAGGCTGCAAGCAAGAACGCTTTTTGCTAGCATGCCGACGGTTGACAGCGAAGCCTTCGAGAGTCGGGGGCCGACGGCTTTCGGGCACAGTACTGGTGGGCGGTCGGCTTGGAGTGGAGCCGCCCTTCCGGCACTTGGACCCACGGCGCTGGCGACCGCGTTTCGTGTCGGTTCATATCTTTGTTCCTGACCAGAACCAGAGGGCAACAACACGTATTTGAAGCGGGACCCCCCATTTGTGTTAAAAGAAAACACGGCCAAACGGGTCTGAACGGGTTTAAACGGGTTGTCCCTGTTCGCCCGGTAGCCGTTTAACGAAAAAGAAGCTCGCTGTTTGCCAGGCTGATCCAGGGCATCGACAAGTTCATTGAGCAGGACACGGAGGAGGCAAGAGCTTACATTGCAACGGTGGTTTTTGGTGTCAGTTTGATTGAAAGGCAACCGGGTCAGCTTAAAATCAGGAATCTCTTGCAAAGCTTTGGAGGCTGGTGCAAGGACTCACGCATGGGCCTCTTCAACTCGCATTTTCCAAACGATTCTAGCCTGCGCGGTTTGAGGAGCTTCCTCGTGAGGTGCGGCTTCTCCCGAAGATTGTAGTTACTACAAGCAGCGACGAAGCATTCGCAGCACACTTGCCATCGCTTGCCCGAATTACCCTTCGGCCTGATACCTCAGCTTCAGAGGACCGCGCCAGATTCGTTCATCTACTGTTTTGCCCACACCCGACAAAGGAAGCTGACACATGTGCCGAGTTGGGCTGGCAAGGGATCCATTTTGGGTAACTATCAAAGGTGCGAGATTGCGCCGCTACAAGCTGGAAACATGAGAAAACATTAGTTTCAAAGGCTTCGAAGTTAGGGTTTCTGCGGGGCGAATTGAACATGTGGCCCCATTTCAACATCCACATGTGCAGGATGTTGTTGTGCCGAGGGTGTGTAGAAGGATACGGTCATCACTAGTATATATGTCATTTGTGTTGGTAATACCTCTTGCAAAGGACGTGACTTAGCTGGCGTTGCCCGCACTGGTTGCCCACGACACTTCCGTTTTCCCCATCGGACATCACCCGGCAACTTTGTACGCAGAGGGAACGAGATGGATGTCAGACAACGTGAGGCACTACTGGAGACCTCCCAGAACAATCTAAAACCCTCGCATCCCCCAAAACGCAGATTGAACCTTCGCAGATTGAACCTTCGTGGCCTGGCATTTTTACGCCACGCTAGCTACGCTAGTTTGTTGCAGAGGCCCACATGCCAGGCTGAGAAGTCGAAGTCACGAGCGGCAATCTGACGACACGGGCAACGCAAAGACCAACACACGCGTTACACAACGCAAAGCATTGCCAATGAATTGCAATGCTTCCCAGAGCCACCGTTGCAAGAAGTTGATTGCCATAGACCTGTCTCGCAGGATGCATCCATTGCTTTCAGGGCGGAGGGCCGTTTGGTCCTGCTTGCCGCAAGTGCTAGGCGAGGGCTGCCCTGAATGTTCCCCTGCACGTCATCGAGGGCCCGCTCATGCAAGGCACGAACGAGCATGCAGAATGTAGAATGTGGGATGCAAATGGCGGGAGGAGAGGGGACCCAGTTTTTGTTCAACGCCAAAGTTGGTCGACCCTGGTCTAATCATTTGGGTCTCAAACACACAGGTCGGATCCGGGCACACGTTGCCAAGATGAGCGGCAATGCGCGTCTTCCAAGAGCGGTTCCCTAGGAAAAAGATCTTGACATACCTGCCACATGATTGAATTCATTTGGCTGTGGTTAAAAATAGTCACCCAACAAGTGGGCTCTGTTAAATGGAAACAAGGAGTAAAACCTTGCGGTCCCCTGGTGGTTTGGTTTTGGTCCACAGCCAGTTGAATCTCCCCAAAGGGGACACAGGCGATGTTAGCACGCGAAGGCGTGGCCAAGGTTTCTGTGACGGCCCCTGTCTGGGCGAGGCATGGGCATCATCGGAGACCTCTTCGGTGCCGGCAAGATGTTCCTGCCGCAGGCAGGATGCAGAGCCCTACTCAGATACTTCCAATGAATGGGCCCCTCATTCTCTGAGAACATAGCTCTGCGTGGCCAAGGATTCGAGGTGCGCCCTGTAAGGCATGGGGTTGAGTCGCCAATATGTCGCCATCCCTTTCCGTTGCGAGAGGTCATCAAGAGCGCACGCGTCATGAAGAAGGCCTGCGGCACCGAGGTCTTGGACCCCTCGACTGGCTTCAATTGGGAGAATCAACATCGCTGCCGAGTCAGGGCCTTCCCTTGAGCAAGCTTCTTTTCCAGTGCCAACTTAGAGACCCTCCTGTTTCCTCTGGTGCAATGGGGTCGACCTCGTGGGGCTCTCGGGGCAACGGACTCCTCTTGCGAATCTTCGAATCGCGCGAAGCGCGTCGCGAGGCAGTGGCCTACCTCACCCCTTACATGGAGGAGGAGAAGAGGCTGGCGGCCGGGAGGCCTAGGCCAATATCGATTCCCAGCCGGGGAGGCGGCAGTTTGTGTGTTTCGACTTTGGGTTTGGCAAGGAGTTTCCTTTTGTCAGGTAACCCCTAAGCGGTGGTGAGGGACTGGTGATTGGGGATTTGAAGCCCTTCTTGTAGAGGGTGAATGGGAAACCCCTCTTTAACCACCAAACCACCAAACCAAACCACCAGTTGGAGAGAAGCTGATTTTGGTTTGTGGAGAGAACTGCTTTCCGGGTGGAAGATGGGAAACAGGGTTACCTTCACCAAGACTTTTAGATTCTAACAACTTACTATGGCTGAACATCCAACTAGGGAACCCTGATTTTGGACGATTCGTGAATTGTGTTTGCTCCGTGCGGATATTGAATGATCAGAGGCCTTGCGATGTTGGGCCATTTCGGTCCCAACTGACGCCGGAATGCGTTTTCATCCATTCGATGCCCCCAGTGAGATGGCTTGGTTTTTGCCTGGTGCACCTGCTACAGCGTGCAACCTGATAAGTTTCGCGAGGACTTGGCTTGGAGCCATCCCATGCGAGCAATCAACACCCGGGTAGATGAAGGTTAGTGAGGGGCAGTCCCGGCCATCAATGGGTGCGGCGTTTCCTTAACATGGATTTGGGTAGACCATTCTCATGCCAGGTGTTGATTGCGACTTAGGTGGTTTTGAAGTGTACGTTGCCGCTGGCAACACTTTGTTTGGAGTTGTTAAGACATGGAAAGCAATGACCAGCATTCTGTCCGCTTCCATGTCGGACAGGAAGTAGTGTACCAGGATCTGCAAAGCAAGTTGTGTGACGCCATTCTGAAACTGTTGCCATCTGGACTAGACCTAAAACGAGCTCGTGTTGACATGTCATGATGCCCTGTGGATCAATGTCCCTGTATGGTGGGTAGCCGGGGCAACCACCCTTTAGCAACCAACTGCAGGTAATCAAAAACAACAACAACATTTAGAACCTAAAAGGACGATAGCTAGTTTCCTTCCATGGGCATCTCATGTCTTCCATTGCCAGGGTTCCTGTTGAGGGAATTTTCAGCACCCACAGCTGCAACTGGCGAGTGTTGTCCACATATCGTGGAGTGTTTTAGAAAAACAGACCCTCGAACACGGTTCGTTCCCTTTGGGGATTTCCTTTAGCAACCAAAAGGGGATCCCCATGTCCCCATGCTTTTCTAGATACCATGGGCTAAGTTGGCACCAGCTTCCAACCAAAAGGGGGCTCCCCAAAAGAGGACCACCCCTATGGGTGAAATGAGTGGGTGTGCGTATCCTTTGAGCCCAGCCGGGCAAGATTTGGCTGTGGGTCACAAAACCGGGCAACCCCCAAATGGAACCCCGGTAAATGGAAAGCATGTTGAATCAACCAGCGGTCCGATTCCTCTAATTTCGGACCCATGCCCTGAGCTCGATCGCTTGAGGCGCTGCAAGCGGGCGAGGACCCGGACCAGCCCAAGTACAACGGGGTGGTGCTGATGGCTGGGAGCCCAAGTTTCATGACTCCAGGTGGACATGGATTGTTGGGTCCAAGCTTTTTTGATACCAATGGAATCTCCTCTAAAGCTGAATTCAGTAGCCGTTGGAGTCATCTTCGGTATCACAGAAAGGTGTATGTTTAGACCACCATGGGCTGATCCCCTAAATAGTAGAAGTATTTTTCCAGTTGGAGAGGCGCACAGGAATACCAGGTGCTCTCGGATTCGAAGCAACATGTTTCTTTGATTGGGGTGCCATACATTCTAAAACAGAAACTATGGAAGACGTTTGACGTTGGCGAAGACAATTGCTCCTTTTACACCACTTGGTGGAAACACGATCTATCCCTAATGAGAGTTCTTGTCTCGGATGGGCCCCGTATTTCCAGCTGGGCGTGTCTATTTTTGAGGATACTTTGTTCAGGGGCTTGTTTAACGGGGAAACAAAAGGAACACTTTGCTTTGGGATGGGATTTTGGGTGATAGGGCAGGGTTGGACACGCGTGTCCATCCTGATATTGTGCAGTTCCAGCAGCACTGTTTGATTTGATGTGCTGTTGCTTGTTTTCCTCAAGGTACGTGTTTGTGGGTGAAAAGAAGATGCCTGGGATCTGATTTCATATTCCTGATCATATCTTTTTGCACGACCTGTCCCCTTCGCGTGAGCGCCAAAGGCCACTGTCAAGGGCGACGTGCACGACATCGGCAAGAACATCGTGGGAGTCGTCCTGGGCTGCAACAATTACAAGGACTCAACTCGGGTTTGTGTTTTGAGGACCCTTTTTTGGCTTTCACGGAAATCCAAAGGGAAAACCCACCATCTTGGTCCCCTTGAGCGAAAAGTTGGGTATTGGGTCTCGACTGGCGTTGAAGGCGGTGCATGGGAGCCCAGTACCACGCAGCGTCTCCAAATAGTCGGCTTTGTGATCTTGCTTGGAAAACAACCAAGTTGTGTTTTCCTGGGACGCACTCATGTGAGCCCACTGGAGGCTATTTGACTTTCCTCCGATAAGTAGCCAATGAAAGCAGGGTTGCTGCCAGCTTAAAGTTGCCTACACCACGTGTACAAGGGTAGATATTTGGTATGGGTTCCTTTGGTTTCCCTTTGGAGAGGAGTCCTGTAAGCGATGGCCCCAGGCTTTGGTACGCGTCAGGTGATCGACATGGGCGTCATGGTTCCATGTGAGAACATCCTTGACAAGGCGATTGAGGAGCTCCCGCAATGGGATGGGCGGGCCAGCAGTTTGGTGGTGAATATGCGGAGGATGGAAGTAGAAGGAAGCCTTGCAGGATTGCTTGACGGATTAGATCCTGCGCTGCGGCTGTTTGTTTGTTTGTTGGTTTGCATGGTTGGTTGATTGGGTGGTTTGGTGTGGTTGAGCTCACTGCTAGCCTGGCGCTGGCAACAGATGGCTTTGCCAAGTTGATATCATATTGGGCTGGAACAAGCTAACTTGTAGTGGGTCACACGCAGTTCTGGATGGCCGAATTACCTCAATTATAGTGATTGCAGAATCGGAACAACATGGCAATGTGCGTATCTGGATATGTGCTACAAAACTGGGGCGCCTACGACAGGGCCGTTTTCCTTTGTTTTCGGTACTCTCAAAAAGCACACACACACATGTGTGTGTGTGTGTGTGCGTGTGTGCGTGTGTGTGTGTGTGTCTTCCATGCCTTGTCTCCGCTTCCCGCCCAGGGGTTTGCGGACGAAAGCTCCGTTGGCTGGTCTTTGGCCCAGCCCCTTTGACCTTTTGGAAACAAGTAAAGGTCAGACTTTTTGTTCAGGGAAGAGCAACCCAGATACAGTATCGGGCCAATCAACAATCAACTGAGCAATAAACTAGGGTCCATACAAGGGGTTCTTACTGTATAACGTACACATTCACCGGGCATCCCCTCTGACAAATAGCATGAAGCCCCGCAACGAGGCCCTTCAAGGCGAGATTCCTCGGCAGATTGCTTCCGCGTCTCGCGACGGTCGATTCCCACGAACCATCAAAAGAGGCCACGTTGAACCCCCAGAAAGCCTGCCCCTCCTGCGGGCTCGGCAGGAGAAGGTGGACGTGGTTGGCCTCTCCGGGTGCGGGGAGGGTTGACGGTCGTGGGAATGTGGCCTCCAAAATGAACTTGTAGTTTAGGGTAGATGAAGTATGGACCAGATTGGTGCCAAGATGAATGCACATAGTTATCCTTGGATCAGCTTGCTAAAAAATAGGTGGCACTGGTTTCAGTTTGAGGTTCCAAACATTTGTGCAACGTCCAAAACCTCCGTCTACATGTTTATCAGGGACTATGTCATATCGACCCGTGGCGTAAGCAAAACCTGCACGGGCGGAAGGCGGCGTAAGCAACTGTCGAAAAAACATGTCGCGCAAGCATTCCGCGTAAGCTATTGTTCAGTCATGTTGTTTGCAATATCCTATGTGTTTCTTCAGTCATGTTGTTTGTCATATCCATGTGTTTCTCATTAGTCATGTGCTTGTCATACCTACCCATTGGGCCTTATACAGCAATATTGTCCTTTGCTACTACACAACACAACACTAGGGAATGTTTGGGCGTTTTCCGCGTAAGGCTCGCGCGTAAGCCCCTTGTCCAGCTCTGCCGAGCTCCTTGTCCAGCTCTGCCGCACGGCGCTGCCTTGCTCCACAAGGCAGCGCCATCGCGAGAAAGCAGGACCCCGCCAAACGAGAAGGATACTTGCAACTTGCAATTGGAGACGACGCTTCTACGATAAGCCCCGCTCTTGGGAGCTGGAAGGGCCCAAAGCCGGAGACGACAATGCGTTGACTCGCAAGTTCGCTACAATGAAGCTGTTCTTCCTCCTTGTCATCTTCCTCCACGGCTCGTCATCTGCGTGAAAGGCAAAGTGCTCGCGTAAGCCGCCTTCCACGGAATTGCATCCGGTCTCTCTGGCGTAAGGGCTGCGTAAGGCCTACTTGAAGCCCATGTGCCGCGTAAGCGAAAGCACGGTGCGCGTAACGCTGCGTAAGGAAGTGGCGTAAGGAGAGGGATGCGACATAGGGAATCACGACACGTTTTGGACATGGCTCATTTGTCAAGTGGAGTGCATCAGTTGTTCAACACTTTTGGAAGTGAAGACGTGCTGGTTGCGAAGGCCTTCCAATGGTATCAGAGGACGCGGGGAAAGCCCGTGAGCAACCTGATTCGGTGTTGGGTTGACATGCAACTCGCTCGACCCTCTTTGGGCGTCGAACCCCCTGGGCCGCACCAAATGACGGGGTCCCGGAAGGAATCCCCGGAGTCAGGCAGCGGGCTTCATCGAGACTTGCCCTTTGCAACGTCCCATTTGGATATGGCCATGGGGCATAACCTATGGCTCCATTTTGGCGTGGATGAACATCCATTTGCCACCTATTTTGATGTTCACCAGGGGTACAGGGTTTTGACCCACAGCCACACCTCGAGTGAACGGAGCTCCTTGGGCGAGGACTTTGCACTTCGCCCCGCAAGGCTGATCACGCCCTCTTTGGATGAGATGCAGTATGTCGCTGCCCTGCCCCCAGCTCCAATCATTGAGACCCTGAGGCGCAGGGTTGTGGGATCAAGGGGTTTATCCCCACTTCTGTGATACAAGGGAGTCTTCCCTTTTATATGGTGGATCAGTCTTTGGGAAGCCCATTTTGTTGTATCACAGAAGTGGTCATTTCCCACAGCCCTGCTGAGGCGTTACGGCCAAATTTGGGTCGAGTGAAGGGGGCGGAGTGGGCCAATGGCTTTTGGACAACTTGACAGCCTGGGGAGCAGAACGGGCACCTGGTTCTCCCGGTTCACCTTTCTTTTGCCCTCAAGTGGCATCCTGCTGTTTTGGCAAGAGCCTTTCCCGTTTGTTGTTTGTAAAGCAGTTGGTCAGGTTATTTAACAAAACCAGCCAAAACATGTTGTTTGTTTCCCACATTTCCACAACGGTCGATAACTTCTTGGCTTCCCTTGAAAACACCCCAGAAAGGGTGTTTGCTCATGGGCAAGCGCTTCAGCCGTTCGGAGAGAGACACCCGGGTGACTCAGGAGCAGATGAAGAAACGGAACATGAAGGCGCGTGGTATGACGGTCGGAATCGTTGGGTTGGGTTTGTGCTGAAGATTCATTTGGGTTGTCTCCAAATGGTGCATTTTGCCCCAAACAAAGAATGTGTTTTGGCTCTGCTGTCTCTTTCAAGCAACCACAAAAAGGCTACCTCCCATTTGAGTTTGTATCATGTGCTGTTTCTTTGGGTGGGCCGCAGGCTTGTGGCCAGGTTGTTCACATGGCGTGAGGTGAGGCGACCTGTAGGTAGAGAAGATAGCTGTGGTCGGGAAAGTTTCACTGGAGCTGTGGCA